GCCTATACCCCGTAGCTGGGGACCCCACACAGAGCTGGTGATGCTAATGACTATGAGACCATGACGTCTGCCAACGTGATCAAAGGGAAATGCTCACCATGGGAAATTTGGAGTCTGCAATGCTCACCATGGGAAATTTGGAGTCTGCAATGCTCACCATGGGCAATTTGGCTCAGTTGTGCGAACTGATCGTTGGTAGTCGTGAGGCCAGCCATGGGCGTGGGAGTCTGGATTTTTCCCGCTTTGGGATGTACGATCTATAACCAACAGTTTTCCTCGCGATAGCTTGGAATAAACGTTAGTTGGCCAGTAGGCCAATGGGTGATTTAGGGTTACCCTCTGGTAATTTCATAGCTATTGAAAATGACAATTTATAGTGAGTTTTCCCATAAAAAATGGTGATTTTCCATGCCTATGTTAGTTTACCAGAGGATATTTCTTGGCAACAAAGGGGTGAATATAACATCCGGTGAAAAAATATTTGGATCGTATCCAAGTCTGTCCCGTGGCACCACCCCCCATCATTGATGCACACACGGAACAAATTTCAAGTGTATTGTTTCTACCGGAAGCTGCAAATCAACTTGATCAAACGGGGTTGCACCATCCCTTTTTTTCTTTTCTGGTTGTGTCATTCGGATGTTTGCTGTTTTAATGTTCAAAAAATACCATCACAGGGGGATTCGATATTCCTTTCAATTTGGGCCTTTCCGCCAGCTCGCAACTGCTCAATCAGAAATTGTTGATTGCTGACTATCAAAAATAAAGCCATCATTTCTGGTTGGTGGTTTGGAACATGAATTTGATTTTTCCATATATTGGGAATAATCATCCCAAGTGACTCATATTTTTCAGAGGGGTTCAAACCACCAACCAGATTTACATCAAGAATCAATATCAATCCCTTTGAATCCTGATGCCTTCGACAATGATCAAAGCAGACCCTCAAATGATTCTCAGTGCGTCCCTAAACATGAGAAAGCTTTTGGATCCATTGGCATCTTTTTCCCGTTCTAGGAATGTAAATCTGCGTGAAGGAGTTCATTTTCAAGCACTCCCAGAGTTTTTTTGTTAAGGGAGAAACGGCGGGAACTGAGGGCACTCAGAATCAATTTTCCATGCCCAATATGAACCAACACAACTTGGATTTTTTTAGAAGTGGCCACGGCTAGCAAACTTGGGTATCCATGGGTATCCCATCAATGTGGACCCCCAGGTCCTTCTTAAAAATTGACCATACCCAAGTTACATGGGAAGCGCCTGATAACATCATGGGACGCCGCGAAGACGCCACGGGGTGTTCCGAGGCCAGCGGGTATACCTTTTCCCCCTCGGGCCGTGAGGAGCAGGAGGTGCGAACTCTTCTGTTTTAAAAAGATGCACGGAAGCCATCACATTTTTGGAATTGGATGTTGGGAATAATCATGATTTATAATATTTTGCAATCATCATCAATGGGGATTATATAGGGGGAATTAGATCACAATATCAATGGGGAGAATCTTATGACGATGATTACAGTAGTGGGGATTAATTGCGAATATTAATGGGGATTATTTGATAACATCACTATAATAGGGGATTTACCTTCTGGTAAACGTTTACATAACTATAGAAAATCACCATTTTTAATAGGTAAATCCGCTATACATTGCCATTTTCCATAGCAAACTGTTAGTTTACCAAGTTGGGTACACGAATTGCCATTTTATCATACAAATTTCGAGCACTGTTCAAAGCCCACATCCTAGTCTTTGGGGATTGTATGGTGAGATTTTATGGGGATTCATGTGGAATTATACAATGTGGTACCCCACCAGTTATAAGTTGGTTTATAACCCCATCAAACATAGATATATTTACCGTAAGTCCTAGTTGTTGGAATTATAATATAAACAAACTTCACTATCTATGGGGCACCACTTTTTATCAACCAGCCAAATCGTTTTTTATTTGAAAGGTTTCAATTTTTTTATAGAAATGGGATGACTAACCCCAACAGTGATGATATTGTTGAAGGGGGTGGCTCAACCACTAACCATTTTCTTGAACTGTGATAAATGAGATGTTTTTCAACCAACATTGGAGAATGCAGGGTGATTCATGGGATGTGAAACATTGTGCGATCAGCAAATTCACTGTCATAAAGATTAAACTGGTTTACAGTACACAATTGAGAATGGAGGATAACCTCTGATACATGTTTTTCATTGTTTTTCGGTATATGATGAACATCAATCCCAGCAAAAAAAATTGGGTATGAGCAGAAGGCTACTATATGTTTTGACGCCAACTGGGCCCAGTGGGGATGGGTCACGTGTGACCCAACTGCTACGCCGTTACGCCAGGTACCTGTCAATATGCAGACGAAGATGACACCTCCCAAGGAGAACGTGAAACTCGACCAGCTGGGCACCTCCCATGAATCCGTTTCAGTAGGTTAGGAACTACCCTCTGGTTATGACTAACATAGCCATGGTATAGATGGCCCATAAAAATAGATGGTTTACCTATTAAGAATAGTGATTTTCCATGGCTATGTTAAATAACCAGAAGGTAACTGTAGTAAAATAAATAGATCAACCCTACCATCCCTCTTACTAAGTACAGCTTGTATTCCCAGCTATAAGTGTGGTAAGCCTACATATTCATACTTATCTCACTAACACAGCTACTTACCAAGTGCGATGAAGCGCCAAGTCTTGATTCCTAGATGGGATGAGCCATAAGAATTGACGTGGTAAGCAATAAACTTGGAGATGAATCAATATGAATTACTGGTTGGTGGTTTGGAACTTAGTTATGGTTATTAATGGTTATTAATGGTTCATGATGGCTATTAATGATGGTTATTAATGATGGTTACTGGTTGGTGGTTTGGAACATGAATGGATTATGACTTTCCATATGGGAATGGTTTTGTAATAAGACCATCTGAATTTCATATTTTTCAGAGGGGTAGGGCTCAACCACCAATCAGATTACGTTTGCTTCAAACGAAGTGAGGTACTAAGTTTTTTTTGAGCCCGACCTCAGGGATTGATTGTACCAGTTGGAGTATCGATGTTTGCAGGAAGCCAAAAAATGGTTGCTTCACTATCACCTGAACTGGCGATAGCCGGGCATCGGCGAAGCAGCAAGGAATGGCTGGTGATTTTCCAGTGTTCTTTTAGTTCAAGGAGGTGTGTTCAAACTCCTGAAGTCCATGAAGCAGTGTTGGAACCAAGTCTGAAAGATTGAATTCATGTTTTTGTTGCTTAATGTATGTTAATAGTAGTGGTTATTTCCTGGATTCTGAGTCGTTAAAATGGTACAAGACGGTTGAATCCGTATTCTCTTTGGATACGTAGACCCTTCGTTAAAGTAGATAAACATATTAGAGCAATGCTGGCAAATGACCGTTTGTATGGGTACTTGGGAGGCTCTGGGTCGTTCCATTGCCCATGTTATAAGGACACCCTGCTTCCTCCACGGCACAGGAAGCAGTGGACACGCTGCAGCGGGCATTGCAGATTGCACGCGAGTCTCATGGCGCAATGTGGGGCTGCAATGTGGGGCCCCCACTCGCAGGAGCATCCTACAAATTCTGGTCAGATCTATCTTCAAGAATATAGATAGATAGATCAGATAGATCTACCTATTGTAGATATCTATCATTATCTATCCATGTAGATCTACCTATCCAATATCTATCTACCTATTGATTCACAGGTGATCTTGGATTTCTAGCCACTTTACATGCGATGATTTCCCAACGACGGACAGGGCGTGTATAAGCAATAAACCCTCATTATGTAAGCCATATATAAATTGGGATGTTTGTGCCATGCAATTGGCGTATCTACATAATAAGTGTGCTTATTTTCTTACTGACTGCATCATTCTAAAGTCATTCTATCATGCATGAGCACTGAGTATAGTGTATTTGCTTGGGCTTGTACTTGGTCATCACTATCGCTGTAGCAAGATTTTACGAACATTGACGGAAGTGTTTCCCGTCCGCTGTTTCAGAACAGAGCAATGTATATCTCTTTGCAGATCAACGCTATGATTCTGATGGCCATTTCGCGTGGCCGCAGGCGTGGTGGATCGAATTTATTAGTCGTTTTACCATCTGGTTCTGACTAACAGTTTGCCATGGAAAGTCACCATGTTTAAATAGGTAAACCTCTATTTCTATGGGCCATCTATACCATGGCTATGTGAAATAACCAGAGGGTAAATTACAAGTATTTTTAAGGTTGCGAATCTGATCCGTGGCCCACCCAAGTAGAAGCTTCAGTAAAAAGTTCTTGGTAGGCATTGGTAGGCGTCTATGGGGAAAGGGTTTTGGAAAGCCCAAAAGGAAAACTTTTGTCCTGGCTGTATTATATACCCTCTGGTAAACTAACAGTTTGCTATTGACAATGGCCATAGAAATAGTTGATCTACCCATTAAAAATGGTGATTTTCCATACTTATGTTAGTTCGTTTACCAGAGGGTAGGCATTGCAGAGTCTGCGATCACAACTAGCTAGGCATTGCCTGAATACACTGAACCCCAACTGTGCATCGCTTGCTGATTGATCAATATCTACAAATGTCTGTGGAGGAACATCAAAGCTGATCTGAGAGGATTCTTGATCACAGCACTGGTTGGTGGTTTCAAACATTTTTTTATGTTCCATAATATATGGGATAATCCTTCCCATTGTCTTTCATATTTTTCAAGATGGTTATTGCACCACCAACCAGCAGCAGCAATGGCCATGATCGGTAGTGGATCGATCCGAATGTTTTTTCCTGTCGAGATCGACGGATCGACGCCGAGGTTTTACACAATGGGATTTTTGGGTCCCATCATTTTACCCAACCTGGTTGTGACTAACAGCGATTAATGGAGATCAATGGTGATCAATGGTGATTAATGGAGGTTATTAATGGCTAATGGTGAATGAATGGTGATTACCCTCTGGTTATGACAAACAGTTCGATTAAAAAATGATGATTTTCTTTCCATGGCTATGTTAGTCATAACCAGATGGTAACACAAACCCATTTCGGGAATCGATGTAGTAGGAAGATTTGTTTGACTTTTCCTTTCGGCCGCAATGCGCCAATTCCATCCAACCCCCAGACTTGGATGATGCATGATGGGAAAATGGACCGGAAATCCTTTTATCTACTGGGTAAAAACCATAATTTCCAACAGAGTTTCCCTTAAATCAATCATCAGTGAAATCCCAATTTTACTCAGCCAAATTCAGGTAAATCTCCATGGCTTCCTGCGAAACTCTGAGGCTGAACGACTCAGTGCTCGAAGCGCAGGCGCCGTTAGATGCTGGTAGCTGTTGCCCAACAGGTGGTATATGGGTGATATATGGGTGATTTCAGCAATTTTCCCCGATATATGGGTGATATATGGTGGATATATGGGTGAGTTGGTTGCCGTTTCGAGTTTTTTGTTCCTTCCAACTGCAAAGAAAAACCTTGAGTGGAAACTTTAGTACGTTAATCTGTTGCTAGTGATGCGAATGGGGATGTAGATTGACCAGCTAACAGAACAATAGCCTGGATTCACATGGTAAATAACATTATATAAAATTGGCCATGACAAATAACATCTGGCTTGTTTGAGGAGAGCAAAAGGTTGGCAGTGCCTGGTTGAATAGCAATGATGTTTGTTTCACCACTAGGAATGGTTATGTCCGGGCGTTGCGGGATCAACATGACCACCATGGTGGATTTCATGATGTAGTTTATATCTCAAGCTCTTCAGTCAAGTTTCTGGTTTTACTCATGGCGTTTTGGTACGTTTCATGTTGCTACCTACTCACTGCTCGTTCAGACAAAATTTCCTGTGTGTTTTTGTTCCCTTCCTTTTACAACTGCCGAAATGGCTGTAGCAGGAATGTCCAAACACAACACGCCTTTCCAATTTCTTTTGCGATATGGGCACGGCTCAAATCTCACACAAAATTCTATGGCCTAGGATTGGGACTGACAGGTTTTGTGGTCCTCCCGTTATTCAGCCACGGAATGGTTCAATGATCAATGTATGATTTTGATTGCATGTTGGTTGACGGTTTCATTTTTTGTTTTTTCTTTGACATCCGTCTTGAGCTATTTCGGGATGAATGGCTGTCAGAAATTCATGCCGTCATGCAATGGCTCATTTCATGCTTTACAACGACCACTCAGTGTCCCGTTCAGATATATCCAAAATGAAGAAACTGTGCAGAAGTAGTACCCGTGATATGTTGGGTACTGTAGTTTTGTGGTTCAGAAACTCTACCATTGGACCATGCAGGCCCCGCGTTGGTGCCATGTTGGGCAGCGATCGAGCCAGGTGATGTCACACCTCTCCAACATGCATGTGAAGCCGCTTGGATCAATCAGTCGCGGATGATCATTGTCTGGACGGGAAACCATTGGGTTTTCTCTATAATACGGGAAACCACAGGGTAGGTTTGATGCTTTTTGCTTTGTGATCTACCGAAGCAGGGTTGCTCCAACCCAATACATTCCCCCACCCAAAAAAATAACATGTTTTTTGGACACCATTGGTATGTTGCCATCGATGAACTACTGGATTTCATGCGATTAATTCTGTGGAAGTTCATGTATAAGACAATGTGGGCCCCCTGTCCATAGGTTTCTCGTGGTATGTGGGTTTGTCTGAGACTAGGGTACCCTAAGTACATGGTTCTTCATATACTTTTCTCTAATTGTAATGTGCATATTATCAACATGTTCAGACACACCCAAATCATATTAAGCTGGTCACAGTTGGTCAAATATCCCGAGTTGTTTCCTAGTTAGATCACCATTTGTCAGTCAAATATCCATTATCAACTGGCCAAATCCTACTTTTGGCATCTGTTGGCTGGTTAAATCCACCTGAACTCCCATTCAAAGCCAACTTCATTCGTGAAATCCCATGAAATCCCTAGGGTTGATGGCTAAAATTGGCTAGATCTCCATAAATTCGATGAAAATCCGGATTTTGGCCAAGTCACTAAGTGGCTTATGGTACTGTATATTGGTTTCCCCACGATAAATATAGAATGTGGGGCCACCAAACGATAGCTAAATTCGTTTATAAACTCAATAACTATGGTTTATGATACCTATAACTATAGTATTAGGGAAAATAAACCAACATTCACATAACTGCGGGGGCCCACATTGTATGAAATTCCAACAAGTCACCATTATTCCCATGGGATGATTTTTGGTACTCGATATATTCACTTTATATTTGTGTATGCCCTGAATCACTGAAGTCATGGGTAAAATCGTCATTTCTCAGGTCAAATCCATCGATCTTTGAGTCAATTTAGTACATTCCCAAGAGGCATTTTTTCGAATTTTGGCTGGTTCAATCCCTCAGAATCCGGAATTTTCTTAGGTTTTTCAATATATTATATCCATTGGACTGGCACAACACCCTGGAGGTCAGGGACAAGGTGCCAGGGTGCCAGAAAGCCACATCAAGGCCTTAAGGCAGCTGTGCCAGGCCTCCAAAGAGGTCCACATAGTAAGCTATGTGGAAAGCGAAAAAAGAGAAAAACAGGTCAAGAAAGATGCCCCGCGGACTTTCTGCCCCAGGACCTGTATGAGCAGTTGAAAATCCACTGCACCTACAAAAGGGTTGGGCCTGGTGGAAAAGTAACCATTAATTCACCATTATAGTAACCATTAAATCACCATTAACTGTTACTATAGTGAGTGAATGGTGAATTAATGGTTACTATTAATTGGTTATCCATATAATTGCAGTGGTCCAAGCAGGGGCCACTGTGATTTTTGATGATTCCCCAGAGGTGGCCAAGGAGTGGCGGGGTTTGTGGCTCGATGATTTTTGCCATCTGCACAAAGTGGTGCAGGCATGGTGATCTAGTGGACAAATCCACTGTTTCAATGGTTTCAATGGCCATTTTCCATAGCAAACTGTTTGTTTACCAGAGGGTACCCTCTGGTTATTTAACATAGCCATGGAAAATGGCCCATTTATAGATAGTTTACCATGGTTTACCTATTAAACATGGTGACTTTCCATGGCTATGTTAAATAACCAGAGGGTACCCTTCCACTTTTCATGATTACCCTCCATTTTGTTGGTCAGTCATCCACATTCAATGGATTATCCCATGAAACCCTGATAAAATCAGGGTAAAATCCCAGCATTTCCTACAATGTGGGGCCCTCGTTTAGGATAGCTCAGTTGGTTGATAACCTCAGCAATCAATTAATTATGGTTATCACATATATATATATTATTATTATATTATATCCTATTGAGAACCTATGAATATCTATGAATCCTACATATCCTGGGTTACCCAGCAGGCGCACGGAGATGGAGGAAGCAATCTTTGCTGCCCATGACGCTTTGAGCCACCGGGAGGCGGGGGGGATTGGTCAGCCGGGCAGCCGGATCGGAAATGACGGGAAAGGGACGGAACAGGTAGGATAAAAATTGTGATTTTCCCATTTAAAAATTGTGATTTTCCCATTGAAAAAAGGTGATTTTCCCATTTAAAAATTGTGATTTTCCCATTAAAAAAGGTTGATTTTCCCATTAAAAAAATGTGATTTTCCCATAAAAAAAATATGTTCCCATTAATTGTGGTTTTCCCATTAAAAAATGGTGATTTTCCCATTAAAAAATTGTGATTTTCCCATTAAAAATTGAGATGTTCCCATTAAAAAATGTTGATTTTTCCATTAAAAATGTTTGATTTTCCCATTAAAAAATGTTGATTTTCCCATTAAAAAATTGTGATTTTCCCATTAAAAAATTGTGATTTTCCCATTAAAAAATGTGATTTCACCATTAAAAATTGCGATTTTCCCAGTAAAAATGGCGATTTTCCCATTAAAAATTGTGATTTTCCCATTAAAAATTGTGATTTTCCCATTAAACAATGGTGATTTTCCCATTAAAAATTGCGATGTTCCCATTACAAATTGTGATTTTCCCATTAAAAATTGTGATTTTCTCATTACAAATTGTGATTTTCCCATTAACAATTGTGATTTTCCCATTAAAAATTGTGATTTTCCATAGTTATGTAAACGTTTACCAGAGGGTAATCATGAACAATAGGCTGCAACTTACTTGTGCTAAACATAGGGAATTTTCGGGATATCCACTGGCTAACTATCAATAATCATCCCACCAACCCCAGCAACCTATCCATTTCCTACGTTTAGCACCAGTAAGTAAAACCTGCAAGATGGACATCTCATTGGATATTGAAAAAGTGGATGAAATGAACCACACATTGACTCAAGCTTGTGAATGTGGAAGGCTAGTTGTAATCTACATAAATGCGTTGATCTAGTCTAAAAATGAATTTGTGGCCAGCAGAAACCGGGGGTTGACAAACAAAAAGATATGTTTTAAAATGCAAGTTTCAGCAACAGAAAATGGAAATTAAGGCAAATTTCATGATCAACCAGCTTGGTTGGTTGAATTCCAATGTGCGAATCCCATCCCCATAAATACTGAATTCCTTAAATTGGCTCTTAAAATGAAAAGATTCAATAGATTCAATACTACACTGAGCGGTGTTTTTCTTTTCAGCTACGGTGGCCACTCCTGCAAAAAGGGCCCTGGAATCTAGAGGAGTTATGTTTGGTGGTTTATAAAGCCGTTCAACTGTAGTTACATCCACCATAAATCCTAATGATTGGACTTTTTTCAACCCACTTAATTACCTATCCCAGATGCTCCATGTATGGAATATTTACCTACATTTGCCCCAAAAATTGCAGAAATGTAGGTGACTATTCCATACATGGAGCATCTGGGTATCATAAATCAAGTATGAATATGTATAAATCCAAATTTCGGCTGGTAGTTTTCCATTTTGTTTGTGGTTCAAAGGAGTGACCAGGCATTGTAGGGCGTTATACTACTTGGTTACTGGAGATTATAAATTCATTATATGAAAACCAGTTCTTAACCAGACAGGATAAAGGGATGTAACTATTAAATCCAATTTGTTCGTGGTTAAATTTCAACAAACAATCCCCATGTTTCGTGGTTTCAGTGGTTGAAAACCCAAATGAACTCATTTCCAGTGGCTAAAGATCAGGTTTTGGTGGTTGCCCTCTGGTAATTTAACATAGCTATGGAAAACCACCATATTTCCCAGGTAAATCAACTATTTCTATGGGCCATTCTCAGTAGCTATGATAAATTGCCAGAGGGTAATTCCCATCAAGATCCCCATTGTTGTTGGTAAAATCCCTATATCAATCGCCATGAAAGTGCCTATGAATTCCCATGAAATCCACATGTGTTCCTCGTCCCTGACGACAAATTCCGAAATTTCGACAGGTGAAAGATGTGGAGGGAAAGGCTGTGTGCATTGGGACATCCCCGAATGGAAAACTGGAGGAAAAAATCCATAAATCAACTATGACTGGTTGGTGGCTTCAAACATTTTTTATTTTCTATAATATATGGGATAATCCTTCCCATTGACTTTCATATTTTTCCCGAATGCGTAGCAAGGGTTCCCGTTTCACTCTGGGGGTCTGGGGGCTGAGGGTGTGTTCGCTCGACGTTGCGTTTGTGGTCGCAACCGTTCGCAACCGTCCGCAACCGTTCGCAACCGTTCGCGTGAGGACCGTATGGCCGTGCCTATGGGAAGTTTTACAGAGGTGGTCCTTTTTGGAGGTTTCAGACGTCTGGTTGCTTCGTTTCGCGTGGCAGGCGTGGCACTTCGTGACATTCAGACGTGTTCTGCAACGTGTCGAAAGTCGTTTTGCGTGTTTGCGACGTTTTCAGAAGATGTGTTGCAGTTTTCGTGGCAGGCGCAGCACTTTGGACGCGTCCATCGTCATTTTTCGTGGCAGGCGCAGCACTTTAGACGCGTCCTGTGGCGTGTTTTTTGTAAATCGCATTGGCAGGGCTGCGTCAAGTGGCGACAAGGTGCAAATTCCGTGGCAGGCGTGGCATTTTCTGACATGTGCTGAAAATTGACGGAAGCCTCGCACGAAACATTGATTTTGAGGTTGCAAATTTTCAGGTTCTAAGGAAAACTCGTAGGAAAACGTCGATTTTGGAGCTGCAAAGTGTCAAAATTGGAGGAAGTCTCGTACGAAATGGTCGTTTTGGTGCTCCCACCTGTCTCGTCTCGAGTCTCTGGTTTTCCTGTGGCCTCGCCGTGTCTATGGGGGAAGCTGCAAAACTTGTCCTTTCGTCATGTCGCCAACTGTGAAAATTGCCGGAAGTCTCGCACGAAATGCTGGTTTTTCTGCATCCACGTGTCTTGTCTCGAGTCTCTGGTTTTCCTGTGGCTTCGCCGTGTCTATGGGGGAAGCCGCAAAACCTCTCCTTTTCGAAGGTTTCCAAGCAGCTTGTCATGTCGTTTTGCGTTGCAGGCGTGGCACTTTGTGACATTCCAACGTGTTTGATAACGTGTCGAAAATGTCGAAATTGGAGGAAGTCTCGTACGAAATGCTCGTTTTTCTGCATCCACGTGTCTTGTCTCGAGTCTCTGGTTTTCCTGTGGCTTCGCCGTGTCTATGGGGGAAGCCGCAAAACCTCTCCTTTTCGAAGGTTTCCAAGCAGCTTGTCATGTCGTTTTGCGTAGCAGGCGTGGCACTTTGTGACATTCCAACGTGTTTGATAACGTGTCGAAAATGTCAAAATTGGAGGAAGTCTCGTACGAAATGCTCGTTTTTCTGCATCCACGTGTCTCGTCTCGAGTCGTTGGATTTCCTGCGGCGTCGCCGTGTCTATGGGGAAAGCTCCGCACTCCTCACTCCACACTTTACACTCCACACTCCTCACTTTACACTCCACACTCCACACTCCACACTCTACACTCCACACTCCACACTCTACACTTTACACTCTACACTCCATTTTTTTTACATTTTACACTCCACACTCTACACTCCACAAACTAGACTTTCCACTCCACACTCCACACTCTACACTTTACCCTCCACACTCCACACTTTACACTTTACACTTTGCACTCCACACTCCACACTTTACACTCCACACTCCTCACTTTACACTCCACATTCCACACTCCACACTCCGCACTCTACACATTACACTTTATTAAACTCCTCACTCCTCCCTCCACACTCTACACTCCACATCCCCCACTCACACTCCACACTCTACACTTTCCACTCCCCACTCCACACTCCACACTCCACACTCTACACGTTGCACTCCACACTCCACACTTTACACTCCACACTCCACACTTTACACTCCACACTCCACACTCCACACTTTACACTCCACACTCCACACTCAGCGCTCTACACTTTACACTTTAAACTCCTCACTCCTCACTCCTCACTCCACACTCTACACTCTACACTCTACACTCCACACTCCTCACTTTACACTCCGCACTCCACACTCCACACTCCACACTCCACACTTTCCACTCCACACTCCACACTCCACACGCCACACTCTACACTTTACACTCCACACTCCACAGTTTACACCCCACACTCCACACTCTACACTCCACACTCCTCACTTTACACTCCACACTCCACACTCTACACTTTACCCTCCACACTCCGCACTCCACACTCCACACTTTACACTCCAGACTCTACACTTTACACTCCTCACTTTGCACTCCACACTCCTCACTTTACACTCCACACTCCTCACTTTACACTCCACACTCCTCACTTTACACTCCACACTTCCCACTCCACACTCCACACTCCACACCCCTCACTCCACACTCCACACTCTACACTTTCCACTCCACACTCCACACTCTACACTTTACACTCCACACTCTGCACTTTACACTTTACACTCCTCACTCCACACTCGACACTCTACACTTTACACTCCACACTCTACACTTTACACTCTACACTTCACACTTTACATTTTACATTCTACATTCTACACTCCACACTCTACACTTTCCACTCCACACTCCACACTCCGCACTCCACACTCCACACTTTACACTCCACACTCTACACTTTACACTTTACACTCCTCACTCCACACTTTACACTCCACACTCCTCACTTTACACTCCACACTCCACACTTTGCACTTTACACTCCTCACTCCTCACTCCACACTCTACACGCTACACTCCAGACTCCACACTCTACACTTTACACTCCACACTCTACACTTTACACTTCGCATTCTACACTTTACACACTCTACAGTCCCCACTCCACGCTTTACACTCCACACTTTACACTCCACACTCCACACTTTACACTCCACACTCCACACTTTACACTCCACACTGCAGACTGGTAACAGGGGAAATATGTACAAGACAGTTCAAATAAACTATTGCAGAAAAGTGTTGTGCGTGACTGCATATCCATGTGTTTTGACATCTGTGCCATTAACATACGTGTGAGCATTCGGGTTCGTGGGCTTCATCTTGTTCAAAATGGGTAGGTATACCACAAACCAGATGATATCATAGTGAAAAATGAGAAAATGACGGAACATGTTTCAAGTAACATTTATTATTTTTGACTATTCTTGAAATGGCACTGTACATGTCACTATGATATTAATATCACTATGGTAAATATTATTTTCAATGGTGAAAACAGATGGAAATAATGGTCATATCATTATGATATTGACAGATGGGATGTTTTCACCATGATATTCACAGATGGAAAATATGATAATATCATAGCCCCAAAAAAGGAAAACATATCAATGTTTTGGGGAATTATCTTTTATGATATTTTCCAAGTAAAAATATCTGATGGGAATCATCAACTATAGTATCATTTGGTTTTTCAAATTATAATCTAGTTTGTGAAAACTGATTCCATCAAATGGGACAATTGGACCATGTGAATAATTTTCCATAAAATTGTAGTTTTATCAGTAACAATATGGTAAATCCAAGAAAAATGTTCCACTTGGGGGATGATTTTGAGTACCCATTGATGCTAATATTGGAGGTGGTTCAAGTTTGGGTTTAGGACATGACCTCAATTTAGTCAGCAGATTATATTTTATAATATTATATATAATTATATATATATATATATTTCTTTATAACATATACATATATATATAACATTTATATTACATATATATATATAACATGTATGAGCAACCGTCAAAACTCGCGGATACTAAGATATGTATTGGCTGGACATTGGTTTTCAGAAAATGCAAAAAACTGAGGTTAGTGATGGGACCTTTCCAAATAGCGGTACCCAATTTTGATTTCAAAAGTTAACAATGAATATAATGATATTTCATGATATGTCATGAGTGTTGATTTCGTCAAGTGCTCGCATCGATGATAGACTTGGGCTCCGGTTTGATAGAAAAGGAAAGGAAGAGGAAGGGAAAAGAAGAAAAAGGAAAGGAAACGCAAAGGAAAAGGAAAGAAAAAGGAAAGGAAAAGGACAGGAAAAGGAAAGGAAAAGGACGGGAAAAGGAAAGGAAAAGGAAAGAATAAGAAAAGGAAAAGGGTTCGTGGGCTGCATTTTTTCTCTTCTTTTTTTCATGATTTATGATTATCTCCCATTATAATGCCCTCCAGTAATTTGCCACATAGCTATGGAAACCATGGCCCATTTACTGTATTTCGATGATAAACCTGATTGAACATTGTAAGTTTCCAGTTTAAATTGTGAATTTGGCAGAGAGTATCCTCATTATAGATCCATTATAGATCCCAGTAATTCCCAGTATCTCTTTGTTTACAGATGAATTCTCCATGTGCCATAGGTAAATCATGGTAAATCAACTATAAATGGCCATGTTCACTAGTTTTAACCACCATTTTCCCCATTTAAGTTCCAGGTATCCACCAGTGTTCCTGCTTTGACCACCACTTTCTTCGGTTAAACCAATCCATTTCACCCGCCGGAAACCTACCAAACCTCCTGCGAGGGTGTCGCGTTCCAGTCCTTGACGTCGGCGCATTTGCACAACAAGGTGCGCGGTGGAGCAGGAGTTGCAGCATTTAGGAGATCATGTGAGGGTTTCTTTAGAAAAACACATCAGGAGCCAATATGGTTGTATCCCAATCTGTAGGATTTATGGTGGATATGTTGGTTTGCCAGTAGTCTAAATAGGAATTTGTGGTAGTTATTGGGGTTTCTTACTTTAAATTAAGGATCCCCAAGTCAGCATAGCTTTCAATACTAAGTCATGGTCATCCATGACGACTGGATGATTTGGGGGTACCCCCATGGATTGGAACCCCCACGGTTGGCCTGAAAATTAGGATATTATAGGTTTATATTGGAGGGTATAATACGACATCATCATAAATCATGCAAACATGCAGAGAAACAATGGAGAACAATGGGATATAAAAAGGATTTACATGTTTTCTTTGGTGAAAATGATGGTTTATGGCTATTTTACCAGGAAAGATGAGAATATAATGAGATATAATGAGATATGAATTAAATGATAACATGGTGCTCTAACCACCTATATTGGCTTAGTATGGCAGATTTGCGAGAATTTAACCATGGTTAACCGTCAATAAAAGGACATCAACTAGCATTAAAAAACATATAAGCAATAGTATCGGATTTGGTACCATTTGGGGGATTTATCCATTAAAGAATTCGATTTCATGGGCATTCTTGGGGTTATGATTTGGATATAGTTGTGACAACCTGAGGGTTTTCACCCTTTCAATTGGAGGTATAAAACCAACATAGAAAGGCATATGATGGGATAAATGAGATTATTTAATATAATATATATCGTAACTCAAAAAAAATATTTTTACCTAGAAACATGCGGATTTACCAACCACAATGTGGACTGAACTGGGAAACACATTTGTTTTGTTTACAATCTGAAAACATTTTTGTTGACTATTTAGCTATCTACCATCAAAATGACGATTTAACTTGCAACAGTTATACCCATTAAGGACTTCAACTGCACCCTGAAGTTGGTTACAACATATCTTCCATGATATTCAATATTCCTACCCTCTGGTAAACTAACAGTTTGCTATTAAAAATGGCCATTTAAATAGTTGATTTTCCCATTAAAAATGGTGATTTTCCATAGTTATGTTAGTTTACCAGAGGGTATATCTATATATTCCATGAACTCACAAGTTTTTTTGTGTGGTAAACCCCTTGACGCCTTCGCCGCCCCTGTTTGGCAAAGGATTTTGCTGATGCAGAGCGGGCGGCTCGGGCACAGAGAGATTTCAGCTGGGCGCTCAGAAGGGAAATGGGGCAAAGGTAGCCCAACTTGTTATCGTGCGGTGATCAGAGGAAAATATGGGGTGATCAATGGTGATTTTTGAGTGGTTTAACCCCAGTTACAACGGGGATAACAGGGATTCAAAGCGGCAACAATGGGGATATCATGGGATAATATGCAGGACCTCCCAAGGGCATCCGGTACGTGTGCCAAATCGGCCAAGAGATCCGACTACTACAGGTTTGGCCCGAAATACCAGTTATAAGTACTTATAAGCCCATTTATGGAATGCACAATCCCACTTATAACCAGCTATAACTAATAAATGGCCACAACTGTAGGTCTTCCAAGTCACCTGAATTTTTGATTGCCTGTGCTAGTCTTGGAAGACTAGTGAAAAAAGATCTGAAGAAAATAGCTGCTCAGAAAATAGCCGATGAGTCCTTTCTTGACGTCAAATCAGCGGCGTTCGCCTTGCTGCAGTGGTGCGAAGCTGCTGTGTCGCAGCATATGTCCAATTGGATCTAGACATTTTGAGAGTTTTGTGCCCCAATGTATGGCTATGAAATCAGAGAGCCCCCCAAGTAAGGTGCTTGCTAGGTCAATCTTAGATGGATACTTTATATAATCCCTCAGTCTTTTGGTATTAATGGGAATATCTACGTTCACCAGCAAAGAATTTTTTTTTTTGCAAGGTATCTAAGATTGGCAATGCTTGTGGCAACTACGCTATCGGATATTGTCGAACCCAGGCTCATCAAGCTGATTGTTAAGCATGAGTTTGCTGATTCCTTCAATGAAGACGGTAATTACCCTTAACAAGAGTGCACTCGGATATGTGAAGCGAGTGTCGCTCAGCAGGTGGGAGGCCTGCTGCGCAGTACAAAGGACGGCGTTTTGTTGCGGTAATTGACAAACAGCTGCTGCGGTCCACTTGAGCTTTTACCATAAAATATACCTTCTTGTCATTTAACATAGCCATGGGAAATGGCCCTTTTATAGATGGTTTATCTATTAAAAATGGTGAGTTTCCATGGCTATGTAAAATATAACCAGATGGTAATAGTAATATGTATCAATATGTAGTATCCAAACAAAAAGATGTGCTGTTGTTTTTTGCAGGGTATCTATGATTGTCAATGTCAACGATAGCAAGTTTCAAGGGGGAGATGATTTTTCAGCGTCCAGTTTGATGAGCAAATTCAAGCGACCTCATGGCCGAAGCAGCATCCCCCCACTTGATTTGAGCTTTGTGGATATCCAATCCGCCTATATAGTCGGTTTACAAGCCACATTAACTATAGTTAATTACTATAGATGTTAGCTTACAAAGGTGGATTGGATATTCACTAGTTATTTAGTCATAGTCATATATATATATATATATCATTAGATAGTTATAGATAGTTGGTTGTACCTTTTGGTTATAAACCCCATTAATTATAGATCTAGTATATCTACATAGAATATTCTAGAATAGTCACCGAAACGTTCTGTTGAATCGTCGTGCTTAATCCTGGTGAATTTGAGTCCCAGCCGTGGGGCCATCCCTTGCTGTTACTGGGTGATACCCGGCCTAGTAAACGAACTAACATAGCTGACATAGCTATGGAAAATCCACCCACTTTTAATAGGTAAATCAATTATAACTGGGCCATTTTCCATAGCTATGTGAAATTACCAGAGGATAGTTGTTTTTTTGCCTTTAGCCAGTGATGGTGGGATGTATAGTGGCCTGCTGTAAGGTACCTAGTTCCGCATTGTTTTTTTGCGCGCTTACGGCTTGCCGTAAAAACTCTGTTTAGCTTGGTTGAGATGGTTCGTGTAAAAAATTGATGGATGTGTTGTTTCCTCTGCTCAAAGTGCAGATCTATATGTTCTTTGCTGCCCAGGATCAGCTATTAAAGTGATAATCCAACGGTAGGAATAAGGTTGGAGACGATGAACCCATTGTTTATGTGGGGATTTGGGTTGGTCAATTCTTCGTGTTTGCTATCCAGATTGGGGTACCCGACTTCGAAAAAAAAAAACGTGCACCCGTGGCACCCGTGGACCCCGCTATAAGTTGGTTGAGGAACCTTTCCGTAGTATTTATATTCCCATATGCAACACAACTCCAGTCAAACTAGTGACTTGTAAACGAATTTGCCCAAGTTCCTAACCATAAATCCGCTGGTTTATTATGTTTAACATAGCTTATCGTGTTTTATCATGATATTCCCTATTTGAATATCGGCTTTTTGGGGGTATATCATGGTATGTCCCAGATTTAGGCATATCCAGGTATCATACAACTGGTTGGATATCCCTAGTATACCCGATGGTGTTTTCCTGTTAAAGCACCATGACTTTGATGGACAGATTCTGGTAAAATTGATACGTTCAATCCCCGGCTAAATCCCATTCCCGCTCATATCCTACAGGGTGGGGCCCCCCAGTGATGTTTATTTATACACCATTATACCCTCCATTAACTATAGTTATATCTACCATAAACCATAGAATTCAGCCACTTATTCGGCAACTGAACGCTATCTTGAGGGCCGCATCCTGTATTATTGATGCGTTTTTTTCTCAATCTTTCCCAGAGAATCCTATAGATATACAGATATACCGTCCCGTTTTTTCCTGCGTAGTTAAGCCACCATGACTTTGATAATTTTGACGACTAAACCACATTAAACCCTGATTTTCACCATTACAAGCCTGTTTTGTTGACGCTAAAACGGTGCTCGAGGTCGACGCGAGGGTCATTGGTCCGGAGACGCTCAAGGGCAACTGTCAATGGCTGAAGTCTTGTGCGTTTGAGAGCCCAGTTTGCCATGTTTGGAGGTCCTAGAAGTACCCTGAAATCATCCAGACCATTTTCGTATCGAAAGCCTGGTTAAATGGGATCCCCCATTTTAAGAAACTTCCATGTGTATTGCTACACTACTATTTGCTATAATAACTACGATGTACCAATTATATTGTTATATATTGTTTTGGTCCAATCAGTATTCTTTATGGCCATTCTTCCCTCTTTAGGTTGATTGATTTCTCTTGCTGTCTTGCATATCGTTGGGGAAACCAAACATGCCAGTGGGAAAAAAAACATATTCAGTGGGAAAGCACCTTTGTATGGATAACATCATTAAATAAAGTAATTTTCCGCTAATCTGGAGTTCCAAATGGCAGACAGGAAGGACCCCAGGATAGACACCATGGCTTTCCGGCGTTCCTGGATGGGAGACACGTCACTAGTAACATTCTAAGCTTATAAATTAATTGCCATGCGCGGTAAAACATAGAATAACAATGGCAAGCATATTGTAACATCATTCCATCATTACAAGCATATAATATATTACAACAGTACATTACAATGATTCACACTGAATCAATCTCAAAATGACTTGTCTCAGCAAGTTTCAGAGCACCAATCGGGAGGACCTTCGGGGAGATCAGCCCAGCTGGATCTCAGTTTCACCTGTCCATTCCCAGTGCTTTTCAGACATGATGGGCACCAGATTACCCTTTGGTAAACGTTTACATAACTATCAAAAATTACGATTTCCAATGGGTAAATCAACGATTTCTATGGCCATTTTCAGTAGCTATGTTAAATTATTCCATTGTGAAAATGGATGGTGCTAATTTTTGAAATGCGCCATCTATAGGTTCCCAACACATGTGGTTAAAAACAACCTGTTTTCCTCTAGTCTAGTTAAATTTAGTATTAAGATTGCAATGAATTTGGGGTACGTGTTTTTTTTGAAAACCATAACTTTGGATTGCGCCATCTACAGGTTGCCACTGCGTTCCATGTGTAAAGGGAAAGGGAAAGGATGAGGGAAAGGAGAAAGAAGAAAGGACAAAGGAGAAACGATGTGAGGATCCCCGATCTGGCGTGGGTCCCACCCGCTGCCATGCGGCTGGTCAGTACACCAGCCGCTTCTTCGCCATGTCGCCTGACACAAAGTCGACACCGGACCTGATCCGCGGCTGCAGCTTGTGGCCTGCATACATGACCTCACACGAGCCCGCTGCTCGTCTTTGTTCTTCGAGGTGATGTTGCTGTCGTCCGGGGGAGGCGATTCCTGGGCAACAGCACATGGAAAATTGAAGACCAATGTCGGCACTGACTTAGATTTGGTGCTTGAAGAGATGGGATTGCCGACCGATGGAATTACGGTCTACGGCAATCAGAGCGGAAGCCTGAAGGCAAAGCTGGCGATGGATTACGACCTCCACGTGGTGCCAGCGGACAAGAGCTTGAACGAATTGTTTCCAAGAAAGATCCCCTCCTTAGGTACGGAGGTACAGTAGCCTCTGACATCTCAAAAAACTATGGGTATCTAAAGATAAGGAGTGCAGTGTTGTGCATCTTCAACAAACCACTATCATTTATATTAAACACATAAAATATCATCATAAACTCATCAGCAGAAACCACTATTATGTATACCATTTATCATCATGTGTTTATCATTGATATTATCATTGATCATCATTTATCATCATAAACCACTATAAATAGTCACTCACTGGTTACCATTATCATTTAACCACTATTATATACCATTTATTAAGAATACTATTATTATCGATTTTTCTTAGCCCATGGAAACTACACCATTTATCATCATTTATCATCTGAAACTATTTATCATCATCATAAACACATCAGCAGAAACCATTTCTTATGTAGCGATTATCATCATAAACACATCAGCACAAACCACTATTATTTACCATTTATCATCATACACTTATGATTTATATCACCATTTCTCATTAGCTCAATGGCCATCTCAGGAATCTAAATTGGAGGTACCTACCATATATAAGGCCTAAATTTCAGGGAATATACCCACAAAATATTAGGCCTTATATGGTACTAACGTACCTCCATTTTAGGATCCCTTTTATTACCATTGATTAGCCCAGCCTGAAATATTTTTCCCATGGCTGGTCATCGCAGGCTGAGAGGAAGTTCGACGAGGCGGTGGACTGCGCCAAGGAAGCGCAGAATTTGTTTGCGGAGCCGCTGGGATGAAATGCCGCCGTCTGGAGAAGGTGAAGATCCAGTTTTTAAGGTCAGTTCTAATTTACATTTTAATCATGTTTCATAGATGCTAGATAATCTATTTTACTAGATTTTAAGTAATGTAGTTAAAACCATTTTAAGTAATACCTGAATAACCCACCTGTGCAAAATTATCGCTCGAAATCCGAAGCAGCAATAATTATTGCCGGTTGTCTAAATTTTCGCTGTTTCCAGTTTTTTTCGCCGTTTCAGTTTCCACATTTTGGGCTCTTGATTTGTTTCGCCGTTTCGTCGGGTTTTTTCGCCGTTTCAAAACCGGCAAACATATGCAACATGAGAAAAATGCAAAATCTGTTCGGAGGCAGAAAAAATGCCGCCAGCAACAATTCCTGAAAAGGCAATGATTGCATACATTGGAAGACGCAGGTATAGTTTAATAATCACTAGATTCCTATAGATTTTCATATATTTCCCCACATTGACGTGTGTTTTTTTGTTTTTAAGTGCTGTATCCGCTCCTTCCTCCTTCCTTCCTCCCGCCTGTCCTCCCATCCTCCCACACACAATATCATCAAGCATCACATCCAATACATCACTCACACACACACATCACTCACACACACACACATCCCACACAATATCATCAAGCATCACATCCAATACATCACGCACACACACACATGTCATTCTCTCACACACATCATTCGGGGTCGGATGTACACCCCGGTGTCCCTCTGGCGTTCTTTGGTCTCCGCCGCTCTGCCGGTGGCTTTTGCGTGGCAGGCGCGGGACTTGGTGCACTGCAAAGAGGTCGGATGTACGCCCCCGTGTCCCTCCGGTGTCCCTTGGTCTCCGCCGCTCTGCCGGTGGCTTTTGCGCGGCAGGCGTGGGGCTTGGTCGGTGCACTGCAAAGGGGTGGGATGTTCGCCCCGGTGTCCCTCCGGTGTCCCTCCGGTGTCCCTTGGTCTCCGCCGCCCTGCCGGTGGCATTGCTAAGGGGTCGGGTGTACGCCCCGGTGTCCCTCCGGTGTCCCTCCGGCGGTGTCCCTCCGGTGTCCCTCCGGTGTCCCTCCGGTGTCCCTCCGGTGTCCCTCGGTGTCCCTCCGGTGTCCCTCCGGTCTGCCGGTGGCTTGTGCGTGGCAGGCGTGTCTCTACGGTGTCCCTTGGTCTCCGCCGCTCTGCCGGTGGCTTTTGCGTGGCAGGCGTGGGGCTTGGTGCACTGCAAAGGGGTCGGATGTACGCCCCAGTGTCCGTCCTTCTGGCGTTCCTTGGTCTCCGCCGCTCTGCCGGTGGCTTTTGCGTGGCAGGGGCCTTGGCGCTAGAAAGATAGAAGGATGGAGGGGTGGGTGGATGGATAGATGGATAGATGGATGGATAGATAGATAGATAGCTGGATAGATAGATAGATAGCTAGATGGATAGATAGGTAGATAGATAGATAGGTAGATAGGTAGATAGATAGATAGGTAGATAGGTAGATAGGTTAGATAGGTCAGATAGGTCAGATAGGTTAGATAGATAGATAGATAGATGGATGGATGGATAGATAGATAGATAGAAAGATAGATTAGATAGATAGATAGATAGATAGATAGATAGATAGATAGATAGATAGATAGATAGATAGATAGATAGATAGGTAGATAGATAGGTATATAGATAGATAGATAGATCAATAGCTAGATGGATAAATAGATAGATAGATAGATAGATCGATAGATAGATAGATAGAGAGATAGATAGATAGATAGATAGATAAATAGATAGATAGATAGATAGACAGATAGACAGATAGATAGATAGACAGATAGACAGATAGACAGATAGACAGATAGACAGATAGACAGATAGACAGAAAGACAGATAGACAGATAGACAGAAAGACAGATAGACAGATAGACAGATAGACAGATAGACAGATAGACAGATAGACAGATAGACAGATAGACAGGTAGACAGATAGATAGATAGATAGATCGATAGCTAGATGGATAGATAGATAGATAGATAGATTGATTGATAGATAGATAGATGGATAGATAATGATACATAGATAGATAGATAAATAGATAAATAGATAGATAAGATAAGATAAGATAAGATAGAAAGATAGATAGATAGATAGATGGATAGATGGATAGATGGATAGATGGATAGATGGATAGATGGATAGATGGATAGATGGATAGATGGATAGATGGATAGATAGATAGACAGATAGATAGATAGATAGATACATAGATAGAAAGATAGATAGCTAGATAGATCGATAGCTAGATGGATAGATAGATAGATAGATAGACAGACAGACAGACAGATAGATAGATAAATAGTTTTGTATGCAGTATCAGCTGACTGTGTGGAATGTACAAAATACTGGCTGGACCACTGGACCAAGGTGCAGACATCACAAGAGGCACCAAACATATGAAGTACACAGCCAAGGAGTGGGCTGAGTGGTCTTCAGCATCCAATGTGTTGCAAATTCTGGAGATGCGGGAACAAGCAAATGCCACGAGGCCTGACGAGCACATGTTTTCTGGGGTCTGGTCTCCTCCTGATGAGCAAGATGCGACAGAGGATTTAGATACATCTAATGCTCTGATCCAGGATGTAAACGACTGGTGCCGGCATATATGCCTCCGATTCTTGTTCGTCCTGCGGCTCCTGCGATGTGAGGTCTGTAGTTCCAATGGCCATTGAAATGGTCAACCCAGCAAAAAGTCCCGAAGTCTGGTGAAATTGTTAAGTCTAAGTCTGGCGAAGTTGTTAACATGTGGGGTTATGCGGTCCTATAATTTTCATGGATTTAGTGGATGAATTCCTTGAAGTTTCCTCTAGCTGGAGGCGTATACCTGGGAAAATCATCCAGAGACGCTGTGCTTGGCTATCCCAAGAGTCTGCACGCTCCATTCGTTGGGGCGGAGACGCCCATGCCAGTGCGGTACTTCTTTGTGTGTGTGCAATGAGTTGTGCCTTGGGTATCTACAGCACTTTAATCCTGGTGGGTGGTTTGGAATAGTTTTTATTTTTCCTTACATTGGGAATAATAATCCCAACTGACTAATATTTTTCTGAGGGGTTGAAACCACCAACCAGAATCGGTTGCTATCAAGGGTAGACTGCACATTCACCAGCTAAAAGATAGTTGTTTTGTCAAGTATCTACGATTCATCAAGAGATGAAGACCCAAAATTTGGGCCAGTTTAATATAGTTTAATGGATTTTCATGGGAACATGATGATCATATAACAAACAAATGATGCTCTTATCCAAGAAACATGGCAAGGATGTTACACACACTTGGACATAGAATGGTGATCGATTACACTTATTTCAGTCATGCTCACCACTTGTCGTTTCTTGTTGATACTTGGGTCTTGCCCACCACTTGATAGCGCTTATATAATTACGTGAGGGACCCCTACACAGATACTACACAGAATCGTGATGAGTTTCATTGACTTCTCTCCCCCAGCTATTAGGTTTCAGTGCTAGTGGTCATATTCAAAAAAAAGGCATGAGGCAAAACTGTGGCCATATCAGGCAAGATTTCCTTATGTTCCAAATTTATTTGTTTTGCTTTGTCACATCAGTCGGATTCCCATTTTAACTTGGACATGAAGACCAGTTGGGCTGAAAAGAATATTGTTACTTGCGCAGGCGTTGTCTGAGATTGGAATTTTCAACCGCTTTGAGTAAATCCTAATATTTGGCTTTAATTGGTTGAGGCCCCTATCATCTTCAATCCGATTTCGAGATTCTCAAGCCCACTAAAATGAATTCTCAACAGTATGGCCGTCAAAAACCCTGGCACCCTAGCCCTAACAGGCTGGCTAGTGGATGTTTATTTCCTGCTGTCTATGGTAATGACAGGTTTTGACCCATTCCCATATTGATTGGTGGGTTGGAACATTTTTATATTTTTCCATGTATTGGGAATAATAATCCCAACTGACGAACATATATTTTTCAGAGGGGTTGAAACCACCAACCAGCATATCTTTCATGATTTGTTTTCATGAAATCCCAAGTTTTCATCAGCCCCACACCTTTCCGTCGTATACCAAGGCATAAGGACCGGAAAGGGGAAGCTCGCGCCCTGCTACAGGCAACTCCAGTCGGAGGGGGGGCCTCCAGCTGGGTAAAACAAGAAGAAACCCCCAATTTCACCATAAATAGCTGGTATAAATCATTCCCAGTCACGGGTGGTTGATTATTGTTTTTTTTCCTACATTACTTTGTGTAACATGCTTGTAGCCATAGCCATGGTTAGCCATATTTAACCATAAAAATTGCAGGGGCAGGAATGCGGGGGTTTGCTGATTGATTTCCTTTCATCCTTCATTTTTTACTCCCTGTAGCAAAGTCTCTCTAAAAAATTGCATAGTAAATCTTAAACATATCGATCATAACATAATGGTTGTGCTAAAAACCGCTTTACAGGGTATTTCCCATCTAGTTGAATAAGCCTTCACTTTACCTGAAAAGCATTTTCGGTTGGTTTTGAACCCCTCAAATACCAACTGCTGGCTAGATTCCCATCTTGAACGCTGGTTCACTTCCCAAATTTACTGCTGAAATCTTAAAAAATCCATGGGTTTGATCATTAAACATCTTTGGTCATACCCAGATTCTGTTTCATAAAACACAAACAAACTTCCGTGATGATTAATTGACCCCACTGGCCATCTATATCTAACATATTAGTTAATCTAAATGGATCAATCGTTAATCTACTCTCAGTTGATCCCAGTTAATGGTTCAATGACCCGTTTTCGATGGTAAATCCCACTCTCCCCGTGGTTTCAGCGAAACGTGCCAGCGGCCAGCGAAACGTGCCGAGAGGTGGCCAAAGCGCGCCTTGGAGCTGCGGAGTATGAGAAGGTGATCCGGAGGGGGGAGTTGAATGGGAAACATGATACTCTCTGGTAAACTAACATACCTATGGAAAATCACCTTTTTTAATGGGTAAGTTCACTATAAATGACCATTTTCAATAGTTATGTTAGTTTACCAGGGGTATATATGATGACAACTCATACAATCATCATATTTAAGTTATATTTGTATAACTTATACATGAGTTTTATTGATATATGATTATATTTGTATATCTAATGCAAGGTGCGGGCCCCTACCATAGCTAAGTTGATGAACAATACTTAGTGATTTCTATATATATATGTAAATACTGAATGGGATCAATGCGATATAATGGGAAAATATTTATAGCAACTGGGATATAATGAGAAATATTCCATTATAGGATTATAGTACCCATATATGTATTGATCCCATCAATGGGATACAATGGGATATAATGGGATGTATACTAACTCACCATTCACCTAATAGATTGATATATATTGTTTAGTATATTTAGTGCTGGTTGGTGGTTTGAACCCCTCTGAAAAATATGAAAGTCAGTTGGGATGATGAAATTTTCAATATATGGAAAATAAAAAATGTTCCAAACCACAAACCAGTATTGTTTAGTATATTTAGTGGGATTCATGGGATATAGTTTCATAGTTTATTGATATATTTATGTATACAATGTGGAGCCCCCTGTTTACAAAATTGCTAAGTTGGTGAGCATAACTTCATTAACTTTGGTTTACGATACCTATAACTATGGTATTCATGGGGGTTATAAACCAATTTATAACTGGGGAGCCCCACATTGTATGTATATCTAATAGATTGATCTAATGATGACATTTTGTTTAATATATTCAGACATCTATGAAGACATATACACTGTTTAACATATATTCATGATATTGAATGGGATGTTCGAATATTAAGTTATATGAATCCAATGGTGTTTCACTCTTATCTAATGGTGTTTTTTTATAGGATTATTTCACCATTGTATCACCATCATATCGCCATTAGAGTAATAGGTGTAGTATAATGGGATTTTATAGGGCTTATATGAATCTAGATAGGAGATCTATATTTAAATGTTAACTTAATTTGATATGATCTGATATATTGGATGAAAAAAAACTTGATGATGATAGATAAATCTCATCTCCGACGTATGGGTAAAATGTCCTGGATAAATTGTAATGACCGCACCTGTCGTGACCGAAGCCTAAAAATCATGATCGCCCAGCCGAAGTTTTGAGGTTTGTGCTCCAGATTTAATGGTGATATTATTGTTAATATAATTGTTTATTGTTGATTATACGTTATATTGTTGATTAGTGGCCATTAATGGTTAAACATGTTGATATATTGTTTATTTTTTCAAATATCCCATTAGTATCCCATTAATATTGTTAATGCTTAACATGTTTAACCAGATTTTCATGGGATACTGGGATTAATCTCATGTTTAACAGCAACAATAGGGATGTTGAAAATAGAACTTCATGGTGTTTTTTTCCGAATGGGATACCCCCTGGTAATGACTAACATAGCTATTGAAAATGGCAATTTATAGTGGATTTACCCATGGAAAATTGTGATTTTCCATAGTTATGTTAGTTTACTAGAGGGTATACAACAACAACTAGATGGTTTAACATCTGACGATCATCCCCACCAGGCGTTTTTTTACAAACGCTACGCTCAGCGGCCGGATTGATACTGGCTAAGGATGAGGAAATTGTTCATCGGATTTGACAATAGTTCCCATACATATACAGATATATAATGATATATATATATATACACCCTCTGGTAAATAAACAGCTGGACCCTGAAAATAAGCAATTTTTAACGGAAACTAATCTTCCAACCCCGATGAATGGCAGGGTCTATGTAAAATTACTGAAGGGTACATGTGATATATATATATATGATTTGGAATATTCCCTGAATATGGGGATGGGATTTCACCAGAATTTGAACAAGAAAACTTGGTGGACATTTAATCACCAAAATGGGAACCATAACTATCATTTAAGCGCCATTGAAATGGGGCTGAGTTAAATATAAAACCAGAAAATGGTTAAAGTTAACTGATATATCGATGTATATATATATAACCATATTTGGTCATCTAATTAATGAACCATAACCATAACTATAAAATGGTAGTTGGTAGTTTGGGACTAAGGCATATTTGATCATGACTGCATATCGCAATAATAAATCATCCCCCAAATCACCATAACTAGGTGGTATAAACTATTCCCAAATGGGTGGTCTATGGCATTGTTTTACCCACATTACAGCCAATAGTAAACAGACCTGATCTTGCAAACCAAGAAAACTTGTTGACATGTACGGGCTTGTTATCATGGCGGTGGAGGGTACCCATTTCCACTTGGAAGCAATTCTGCAAACGGAACAGTAAATAGTGATTTTCCACTGCCGGCTACTGGATAGGAGCAACAATCAGTGCTGAGTGGTAGGAGTTGGTCAATGCCACAAATGATGGTTCCTCTGAAAGTAGGATTCCACAAAATCCAATTCTTTAAAAACTAATTAGGGTTCCTAAAATGGGGTAATCCCATACCACCCAAGTCGACAATCATGATACTCATGGTGACTTGGGGATCCCCCTTGGTGACTTAGTTCCAATCCTTGAAATCTACAAACTCCCAGTGTACTTGCCAGATTGTCAGACAAACCCGAAGGAAATTCTCATCTGGTTGGTCGTTTGGAACATGAATGGATTATGACTTTCCAGTTGGGAATTTCATGATCCCAACTGATGATTTGTCCATCATTTTTCAGAGGGGTAGGTGGCTCAACCACCAACCAGATAATTAACCATCACTAATCACCATTAACCACCATTAAAAATACAGGGATTGATGGGAAAATCATATAAATATGGGACCCTACCAGTTTGTTTCCCCTGATTTCCCCGATTTCAAAGAAGCAGATGAATTTCATCGACAGAATTGATTTCCTGTTAGATCCGATCAATCAGATGCATGTTTTTTTTCTCCAAATAACATCTCATGTTTTGATTGTTATCTTGTTGGGAGTTTCACATAACTTTAGTAACTTTGGAAAATTGCCCATTTAAACATGATTTACCCTCTGGTTATTTGACACAGCCATTGAAAATGGCCCATTTATAGATGGTTTACCTATGAAAAAAAATGATGATTTTCCATAGTTATCTTTAACGATCACAGGGTAAACCATCGCTGATGGCAGATTCCTTGGGTCCGTCGTTCCGCGATCCCACAAGAGATCCGCAGTTGTAGGCGCTACATGTCGCGGAACGTGCTCAAGAATTGCCGCTTTGACATGGTGGAAATGACGAGATTCTCCGTTCGAAATCAACAGCCCTTACCATGAAAGCATGGTTTAGTAGGAAAACTCCACAGAATGGAACATGTTGAAGTCTCCATGTCTGATGGATGATGCGTAAAATATCGTAAAATCATGGAATCTATGTGTGAGGGATGTGTACCCATAGCCATGGAGAATCTTAATATTCCCATGTTTCACAGATTTTGATGCTTAAACATTAGTGGCATCAGCCTCGTCTCACTTGGAGACTTGAGATAATTTGATTTCTGTTTCACTTCCAGTGACTTTGTAAAAACTTCGACATTTCTGTGTACTGTAATTAAACCATATGTAATTTAAAATGAAATTGAAAGTAACTGAATGTAATTCCATACTGTACTCATTTCCATTACTTCTTCATTACTTTCAGGGGATTTTGTAACCTCCTCCCCTGACCAACTGAGGTTCCTACGTGTGAACGATCTCCTGGGGAAGTGCGAAGCCTTAAGAGTCATGGTGGCAAAGCTGCAACGGGAGGGGTGTAACCGAGTGTAACCGCATCCAGGCGGATACTTTTGGGGATTTTTGGGGGATAGGAAAAAAAACTAACGGAACAAACGATCCCTAGAACATAGGTATTTTCTGTCCCATCATATATATCAACGGGGATTATACCTAGTGATCTTGGGGACATACTGCTGGGATGATGGGAAAATCATGTCATGAGGGGTACCCCCAGTTCTCAGTCGTCATGATTGACCATGACGACTCGTATTGACACCGAACCATCGCGACTTGGAGAAGCAGCATTTTTGGACACCGAAAATGAATATTTCAATGGGATCAATAAGTTGAAAATTAAGGATACCATCTGGGATAGATAATATAGTATAGAAAATGATGATTTGATCAACAGTTGTCCATATTTGCCATTGACACATGGTTGAGTTACTCCAAGTCTTCCCATAGAATTCTATAGCTATTCAATGACATCGCTAATGACCATGAACCATACCCCAAAGAAACCATCCCATGTTCTCAACACATCAATAATAGGGGGTTATCGAACATATCAAATACCTACATGTCAACAATATGTATATGACTAAGGTTTGTGACTACTGTTTCTGACCAATTTTATCATGCACGTTTTTAGTTTTTAAGTAGGATAGACAGCTGAATGGGGATGAGCCAACAACCATGGGCTTTTACTTGGGAATGAGGACAACAACCAGAGACGCTGGAGATCATAACCACAAGAAATGGACTTCTTTTACCAAAGTTGCAACACTTTGTTGTTTGTTGTGGCTGGTGTCATTGACATTATTTTGGCCGATAATCGTAGTTCACTAGTGTATCGAGGTTGTGTTATCATCGCCTTTTGTGCTGGCTGCCCCGCTTTTTCTGCTAATGATGGCTATCACGTCGTATTTATCATGTAATTTAAAGGTGTTCATGTCATGTTTATCAAAGATATATGAAGATATAATGTTATCATGTTATGTTTATCCTGTTATGTTTATCATCTTATGTTTATCATATTATCATATTAGGTCTCCGAAATGCTGAAGTTCCGTGTGGACGCTAATATTTTTGTTATCATTGACATTATTTTTGCTGAAGTGATGGATTTGTATATTTTACATTATTTTACTATATTTTATAAATACACAGTGTACAGCTCACACATAAAGTGCCGCTCAACAGTGATTGAAACTAAACATCCCCCACTTTCAGAACAACTAGTAGCATAATTTACACTTTTCTACTAGTGGTTGATAACCGTGACCATAATACAAGCCAGTTCTAGGGTGTACCCCAGTTATATCTGGCTTATACAATGTGGGGCCCCAGAATTATGTTCGTTGGAGTCTAAACCCCAGGAATATTATAGTTTAATAGGTATCATAAACAATAGTTATTGAGTTGATTAGTTCACCAACTTAGTAATTTTGTAAATGGGGGGCCAAACATCATATACATAAATCTTTGCATAAACTATGAAACTATATCCCATGAATCCCACTCTGGTTGGTGGTTTGGAACATGAATGCTATTTTTCCATATATTGGGAATTTCATAATCCCAACTGACGAAGTCATATTTTTCAGAGGGGTAGGTATACCACCAACCAGCACTAAATATACTAAAAATATATCCATCTATTAGATAAATGGTGGCTTTCTATACATCCCATGTCAACGGGTTCAAGTTGCTGGCTCCAGGCGGAGTGCCGAAGCAAACTCTTGGTGAAGCAGCAAGAGCAGAGTGGGGACCTGAACGGTGGCGATTTAGGGCTTAAAATTTGAGGAGTTAAGGAAGAAAGATTGGATTTTTTAGCCATTAACCAAGGAAAAATTGGTTTGTTAAAAATTTCTATAACCAGGAAATATATGAAAAATGCGGATGTTGAACCATTTAACCAATAAAAATGCGGATTGGCAGCTTGTTTGTAATATAGAAGTTTGTTTGTAAATAAGCTAACTGTGGTATATGAGAGATATCGATGCTTACATGGTTCTTTTTACAAAGTGAGTGATTTTTCTAGGGGCCCACATTCAAAAAACGGAGCAAGCGAAGGTGTATCTTTGGTGTTTTGGAGGATCTTGCCGCAAGCTAAGCCGTTCAATAGTCCTGGTTAGATGAGTTGTAAGTCCCCAAGCAAGGGTTATTGGCCATTTATACTGGTTGGTGGTTGGGAACATGATTTTTATTTTTCCATATATTGGGATTTTCATCATCCCGACTGACTCATATTTTTCAGAGGGGTAGGTATATCACCAACCGTTGGGCATGTATCTCACTTACCATTAAGTGGGATGATGCGTCAAATACTTACTGGTGCTAAACGTACGGAATGGATGGGTTGCTGGGGGTTGCTGGGGGTTGCTGGGGGTTGCTGGGGGTTGCTGGGATGATCATTCATAGTCAGCCAACGGATCATTCCCGAAAATTCCCTGCTAAGCACAAGTAAGATTATAATTTCATAAAAACACCATTTCTTGAAGTCTTGCTGGTTAAAATCCTATGAAAACCCTATGAAACGTCAAAACCAGTAAGAATAACACGGTTTTTCTTGGTCTCAAGTTCGGGGCTCGGCATCCGGTTTTCGCAACGAACTCGGGGGTGGAAATAGCAGCACCGGACCTCTAAAGCGGATCTGGCCGAGGAGAAGCACGGTTCATTAGCGGATCGCTATCATGTATAACCATAGTCAACAATAGGATTTTATGGGAATTCATAGGGATTGTCATAATGATTGATATAGGGATTTTACCAACAACAATGGGGATATTGATGGGAATTACCCTCTGGTAAACGTTTACATAACGAACCGGAAAGATCCACCATTTACCATGGTATTGTTACTCTGTTACTATCATTATCACTATGATCATGATACTAGTATTACTATCATTACTATATATATCCTCTGTTTATGACTAACGTAGCCATGGGAAATGGCCCATAGAAATAGATGGTTTACCGTTTTTTTTTAATGGATGGATTTTCCATGGCTATGTTAGTCATAACCAGAGGGTAACCATAGTCAACAATTGGGGTTGTTTTTCCTAAAACCAGAGGTTGAATCTGAACATATGTGTCTTCGACGCGCATCCAAGTTGGATATGTATATATATATATACATACATATATATATATATGTGTGTGTGTTTGGATATTCCACATATAACTGAGGTAGAAGTTCTGGTAAATATCTTTCTTAAACGCTATTTTCCACTAACGTTTACCAATATTATCACTATTAGTAAACATGCTTACCGTATCACATTATCAAATAACCACAGTTCTATATATATATATATACATTTAATTAATTATCACTATAATTAGTCATTTAGCTACCATGTTCATTATCATTATTGATCATAATGAACATTAACCCTGGTTATTGAATGATTCATAGTTATTTGATTATGAACATAGTGAACCACATAAGGACTATGGTTATATCATCATTAACTATGGTTAATATCATATATCACTACTCATATCACTTATATCATTATCAGTAGTAATCATATACTGGTTGGTGGTTTGGAACATTTTCCATATATTGGGAATTTCATCATCCCAACTGACGAATTCATATTTTTCAGAGGGGTAGGGCTCAACCACCAACCAGTATAAGTGGGCGATTATCCCACTTACTAACCATTAACCTAGGTGAAGTCATGACCCGGACTGAGAGTATAGAATGTATATGTGTATATAGAACCATATATCATCTATATCATAACCATGGTCATTAACTGTTGTTAATATCACTACTCATGTACTCATATCACTATATCATTATCAGTATTAATCATATATCATCTATAGCGATATGATTTTATTGTATGTCACTAATATTAATAATGCTAATAGTGATATCAGTGGTTAATATATTATCATCTATATACCACAGATTTTAACCACTGATCTATGCGGATTGCCGGCTCCCATTTTTGCGTTTCTTTCTTCGAGGCACCTTGAAGCTCCGCGGCCGGAAGGCCAATGCCAAAGCGCCGCTACCCTGGGAGGACCTAGCCGGTTTCCGGGACAGCGCCGCAACCGAGAACGGAGAAGTTTCATGGTGATTTTAATGGTGATTGAAGGGGATGATTCAAGGAACATAATAGGATTTAATAGGGATATTAATGGTGATTTAATAGGGATATTAATAGGATTTACCAAGAACATACCTGGTGATTTAATAGGGATATTAATGGTGATTTAATGGTGATTAAGCTTCTGGTAATGGAATATGAATGGCTGGTTGGTGGTTTGGAACATTTGGATTTTATTTTTCCATATGTTCATAATCCCAACTGACTTTCATATTTTTCAGAGGAGATGATTTTATATACTTGGTTTTAATGGTGACTTCATTGGTATTTATGGTGATTTTGATGGTGATTTTAGCATGAAAACTGGTGATGTGAATATGTTTCAGTGGTGAATATTATGGATGAATGATATTTTTTTTACGGATTTTAACGCTCTTTTAATAAGGTATTTATAGGGAAAATGATGACTTCATGGGATTTTACCATGATCATGGGATTTTACAATGAAGCATTGGCTCATCCTTCTTGCTTGTCATTTTGGGAATGAGATCAAGATATCGAAAAAATATACCCAAAGTATCACCAAAACTTTGGTGGAAAAGGTCAATACTTTTTAACCAATGATTTCGGAATCTCATATGCTTACCCACCGTACACCAAACTAATAGTATTCCAGGCCTCCAAACTGGTTCCATCCGTCCAATCAAAATCAAAGCCAAATATATTGGTGTCCATGACCCACCTGTTTGGATAATTTGCGGCATTTGTTCAGGCACGCTGCAAAGGCCTCCAAACAATATGTAAGTTTGTATAAGTTCCCATGACATCCAATAATTCATGCAACAGATTGCCGTCTTCCATTTCGGTTTGTCTAAAAAGAGGGCACCCTAGTTAACTTCCCATTTTTTTTGAGACAGGACTTGTCTCCCTGCAATCTCCGCAGGATCTGTCACGCGCAGCTACTGTCTCCAAGCAGGCCGCAAGACTCGGGGCATGGGGGTTGGATCATCCCCGTCTCTGCACTGTTTGTCGCTTGACGCCGTTTTTTTCCGTAACTCAAACAAAATCCCAAGTGAATCCTCATTTTTGTGGGTGAAAATCAAAGTTGCTTCCTTGAAGTTCTACGAAAAATCCAAGTTGTCTTAAAATCCAAGTTGTTTTTTCAGAAGTTCTATAAAATCATGAAAAATCCAAGTTGTTTTCCCGGATTCTCATGGTTCTCCTTGGTACACTCGCCATGGACCCCGCGTCGCGGCGAGGCCAAAGATGCCGCCAAGGAGGTGGGCGACGTGCAGGCGGAAGCGTGGGGATGCTCAGATGAATCCACAGTGTAAAATACCAACATCTACACATAATTTGTGTGATATACATAATAAACATAATGATGATAGTAGTAATAGTAATAACAGTAATAATAATAATAGTGATATAATAGTAATAAATAATGATATATTGTTATAATTATTACATATATATATCATATTTGCTATAGTAATATGTAATAATAGGTAATATTAGATAATAATATTAAATAATATGTTTTAACTAATTTATAATAATATAGAATCATAGTCAATGATATATAGTAATGTTTAATGTTTTTAATAATATATAATAATATTCAATAGTAATATTCAATGATAATATTCAATTATAATATGTTTAATAATATTATATTAACATATAATGTTAATATATTTATTTGATATATTTTAGATATTCAATTAATGTGTATATATATATATGATAATCTACATTATATATACATATAATAACACAGCATACAGTGGTATTTACAGTGTTTTGGATTGACAAAGATCTTCACAAAGATCTGTCATTTTTGTTCATATACTTTTATATGTTATATACCTTCACAGAGATATGTTGTTTGGTCGAACATCGAAAATTTCATGCGTTCACTTGATCCAACATATGATTGTTGAACCACCACAAATATGTTCCCCCAGCGCTAATTCAAGTAACAATGTTTCAAGTGGGTAACTTGGTTCATCACACCACCACCCCTAACACCATCATGTTAACATGTGAGCCTATTCTAATTGACAGTTCTTTTCTGCTACCATCGGTGATCTCATGGACTCTCCCAGGAGTCAATAAAGCGGAGGAACTCGGCTGGCCTCAGATGCAGCCCCCCGCAGTCTTCGTGAATTAATGCCTCAAAGGTGTCTGGAGTGGCTGGAAGCGAATGGGCCGCTGCAGGATCGCTGGCGAACACTCGAGAAATCCATCGGGCGCTGCGCCACTTGGGCGAATCGTGCAGATCTTGCCCGTGCTGTGAAAGGGATGATCCAAACAAAGGGGCCCGCACGAATGTGACTAAGTGGCATGGCCACCTGCTGCCTTTCCCAGGTACGGGAGTCCAACCCTGGAGAGAACACCTCAGATTTTGAGTCACACAACGGCCAGATGATCGGTAAGATACCCACAACTGATGTAACTAGGTAACTAGGAGGCATTGCATCTCCAACACTTGGTGATGTGAAGAAATCCCTTTTGATGGGATAGTTGCCAACCCATGCTTCACGCAAAATGGACGTTCATGGGGTGGTTGTAAGCTACAAAAATTGGAGATTGGATCCGCAAAGATGGGGTATGATAGGGTTCCTAACCAGCAAGAACGGTGATAATAACATGATGTTCCCGACTTGCATACCTTTCAAGCAAGCATTGGGATCTTCGAGTGGATATGTTTAATGCCTCCATTGCCACCATTTTTTTTCAGGAAGCCTCAGCTCCATTATGCTCCATGCGTTATATGGTACCACTGCTGGGATGCCCGAAGATAATTGCGGGCTTTGGAACTTTGGAATCCCCCGTTCTTTTGGATTCCGAAGATCCCTAGGCCAGCCGGCTAGACCTTATCTGGTTGGTGGTTTGGAACATTTTTTATTTTTCCATATATTGGCAATAATCATCCCAACTGACTAATATTTTTCAGAGGGGTTGAAACCACCAACCAGTTATCATTTCATCATACAAAGTGGGCCTCCTGTTTTATGTTGGTTTTAAAATTCCAGCAACATCCACCCGAGGGCTGCCTTATGCGTCATCGCGCAGATCCATGTGTTCAATGGTGCGGCTGCCTGGAGTCGAGTCCAAGTCACAAAAAAACCCAAAAGGATAGAAGTTGGTAAGTTCCCACGAAAGAAGAACGGTGATTTCTGGCGGTTCTATCAATTTGGGGATTACTCTAGACTACTTTTCTTGGGTTTATATGGAGAGCTGTAGCATGCTTTGTTCTACTGAAAGGCCAACTTGTGGCAGGGAATTAGAGACCCACGACAGAACAACACGGGCGATGAGCATAAATGAAGGGGGTTGGCATTAATTATATCCCACTATGCCATCATGATACACCCATGATATGTCCCCTTACATGCATGATGGATGATTATCCCATGTATGTACCATGATTCATTAGTTCAATCCTTATTTTGGCCATTTAATTCCCGTTACTCATCCCATTTACCCAAATTCATTTGTGAAACCTCGCAGGTTGATGGCTCAATCAATCCCCATTTTGGATGCTTCCCATGAATAACCCATGAAATTCTATGACTATTCCAGTGATATCAATTATTTTGACCCATGTATATTTCACTTATACCTACATGTTTCATGATTAATGTTCATTTAGAAACCAATAAACATGGTTAAAGTTTAGAACTCAATAACTTTGATGGCTTCATGGATATCCATAACTTCAATGGTAAAACCAGCATGTTCTACCATGCTTTCATCAGGTTTCCACCGGTCTTCATAATGTGTCCACCAATTTCATCACTTTTTCCACCATGTTTCCATCATTTTCCATCATTTCTCACCATGTCTCATCGTTTTTCATCATTTCTCATCAGTTTTCATCATATGGGTGTGGGTCAAAATGGAAGACCAAAATGGGACCACAGATGTTAGTCTAGTTGGGGCTTGGGGTACCTAATTTTGACCCATTCCCATATTTCACCATTCAATTCCCGTTACTCATCCCATTCACCATGTTCCACCATTTTCCATCATTTCTCACCATGTCTCATCATTGTTCATCATGTCTCACCATGTTTCCATCATTGTTCAACATTTCTCATCAGTTTTCATCATATTTCACTGAATAAGTTGGTTTATAACTCCAATAACTATGGTTTATGGTACTTATAACTAGTAACTGGGGTTTATCTAAACCAACAAACATCACTGGGGGGCCTCACATTGCGGTTATGAATCATCATTAACCATATAATAACCACATCTTAACCATAATTAACCATCATTAACCATCATTAACCATCATTAATCACCATTAATCACCATATTTCACCATTAACCATCATTAATCACCCATAACTACAGTTACTGGGGCTTTATAAACCAACAAACATCACTGGGGGGCCTCACTGCATGTTTCTCCTATGTTTTCCATCACTTAAACCGTCGACAGGGTTCCCATGTGCAGGTCGTCCACAGCAGGAGATCTTGGAGACTCTGGATGATGCCATGGCTCTGGCCGTTGAGGCACGAAAAAACGTAGGATTTTCATATCATTTTACTATGAAAAATAGTCATTTTACTATGAAAACATGTGATTTTACTATGAACAATTGTGATTTTACTATGAAAAAATGTGATTTTACTATGGAAAAATGGTGATTTCCCGTGTCTTTTAATGGTGATTTCATGATTTGATGGTGATTTAATGGCATGTTTTTTGGGAACAATGATGATTTGATAGGATATTTTACTATGAAAAAAAATGGTTTTGGTGGGTTTTACAGTAATGGTGATTTAATGATGATTTGATGGTGGTTCTACTTGAGGGAAATTTGGCAAGAATATAATTCCATTGGTGTTTTAGTGGAAGCAAAATCGCCATGCAATTGGAAACATGCTGGGCCATCCATGATGGGACTATGATGGGATTTTACAATAAAGCATTGGTTTCATGTACTTAGCTCGTGGTTTATCAGTTTGTTAACAAATAGATTAACAATTGGATTTATCGTAGATATTTTTTTCAGGTGTTCCAAACAAACGTATAACCAGAGAGCCCTATCTTGTAACCGGTTGGATTATGGCCGTACACTTAAAGCTGTCCAACAAAAAGTGGTCAACCTGTAGGAGAACATCAACAAGGCACCAAATTAGCACAGACCTGCAGTCTTGCTCATGACAGAATCCCGAGCAGAGCTCAATGCAGGCCTAGTCATCGTTACAGGTCATGCACAAGTTTTAGCATCGGATGTTGACATGGGACATAGTGCTGATTTTCCAAGTTGCGACACTCCAACCCGCCGTCAAAGCAAGCAGCCCAAGGAACAACTGGAGCTACTGCCGTAGATGAAGGAGGAGACCCTCGAGTCCAAAGGTCCAGGCGATTTGCCACTCCGACCAGCCACAAATCCCCAGCGGAGTGGTGTACCTTGCTATGCAACAGTCGGTCAGAACTTCTGTCTACCTCTGCAGTACGTGGGTCTCCTACAGAAGCACTGCTAGGTGGGCTACTCCTGACTCCACTGCTAGGATGCCGAGCTCGTACACCTCTAGAATGGACGCATGCATGGGCAATGTTGGGCGAATGGGCATGTAAATTAGCCTTTCCAGTCACAGCAGAAGGCACAGGGTGGCCCAGACATGGCCATGGACAATTCCTACGACCAGACTTCTTTCATAGAGCACCGCCTTTCCTTACTGGACCAGTAAGCTGTTTTATATAAATCATCAAGAAAAGTTTACTAAACTGGTGCTGGACCATAATGACCATAAACATATCTTTTCTGTAGTACTTCAAACTCGAATAAAAACTGATTAACGTGGTTACAACAATAACAAACGATCCCCCAAATCAACCATAGATAGGTGGTATAAACCATTCCCAAATGGGTGGTTTATGGCATTGTTTTACCAACATTTAGTACTTCATCATGTGTTGCCATGGTGAAGATTCAGCTGGGACCCTGGGGGATTCCAAACCAGCGACTCACGGAAGATCCAAGGTTGCGGATCAGAAATGAGAAGTGAACAAGTTTGGGGATCCAACATGGGGGGTGTACCCTCTGGTAATGGTGATTTAATAGGGATATTAATGCTGATTTAATGCTGATTTAATGGTGATTAAGCCTCTGGTAATGGAATATGAATGGCTGATTGGTGCTTTGGAACATGTGGATTATTTGTCCATTCAGTTGGGAATTTCATCATCCCAACTGACGAACTCCATCATTTCTCAGAGGGGAAGGGCTCAACCACCAACCAGGTTTGATTTAATCACCAAACATCGAGATTTGTCCACCAAACATCAGGATTTATAATATATATTTATATATACATATTCCCCGCATGCGTAGCAAGGGTTCCCGTTTCACTCTGGGAGTCTGGGGGTTGAGGGTGTGTTCGCTCGACGTTGTGCAAACGTTCGCAACCGTTCGCAACCGTCCGCAACCGTTCGCAACCGCCCCACATCCACATGAGGGCCATGGTCGTGCCTGTATGGCAAGTTCATGCAAGTTCTGCAAAAGGGGTCACTTTTGGAGGTTTCCAGCGTCGCGTAGCTTCGTTTCGGAATTTGCACGTTCTGACCACTGGACGCAGCCTTGACAATGCGATTCGCAAAAAGCATACCCGTTGCTTGCTCCCAGCTGAGATCTAGGAGCTCCAGCCCCTGGGGCGCATGGCTATTTTTTTAATTAGTTTTTTTGTAAATTTGACGATAGGTCCCTTGATTTTATCTGCAGACATGCTAGATTTTATCTCGATCATAAGTGTGAGATAAATTCTAAGAGGCTGGACCCCCCTAGGTCCCCTCAATGGTACTCGCTTCCAAAGAGGACCCAAGGGGGGGTCCAGCCCTTGGTTTTTACCTCATTCCAATTTCAGGTCAGGCCCGTTGATTTTATTTTTTGAAGGTTGGGCCTTTGAATGTTATTTTTGTCCTACGTGAGGCTTGGTACGAGGTACGTCTCTTATTTTCGGATGTCAGCCCCCTTCAATTTAGGTCCAATCTACACCTTTGATTGGAAAGGAAGAAACAGCAACCTTGATTGATGAAATTGATGAAAACCCTGCAAAATTGGCATCAAACTGTAGCGAAGGTGCATGAAGTTTATTTTGTTGAGCATTGCTGCCATGTTTTTCAAACTCACCGTTACACATTTCCTCACCTTGAACCTTATTGTTTTTGAACTTTCAGGTCAAGATATGTCAAGATATTGAATTTGACCCAAACAAAAAGGCTGCCAAATCCTGTACTTCTTCTGTTCCCGGATAGCTGTTTCGACTAAGCGGGGCGAAGCTTGGAGGAAAAACCAAGAAGAAATAAAATCTATGTCCCCAACCTTGATAGATGAATCTCTCTAAACAAACTGGCATTAAAGGTGTGCAAAAATTGTTTTCTTGGGAAGTTAATTGTGACATGTTTGTCAACTTTATCTCTGTTGAGAACCTTTCAAAGTGGCCAGCTTATCTGTGGCATGCGGGAGAAAAAAAACAATGGCTAAAATCCAGGAGGTCCATGGTTTCATAAGATTCACAGATAAAAAATGTATGTCCTAAATATTCACAACGTTCCCAGAATATTTTGAGGGGCCTGACCTTTGATCACTTTGGAACGTCCAAAATGCTCCAAAGTATTGGTACCCTTGTCCAAGTTGAGTGTTAGCAAAAATGTTTGGTTTACGAATGCTAGACTCAGGCCCCTAGATTTTATCCATTCATAAATGCTCAAAGGGGGTATGGGGGGGGGTTCAGGCCCGTCTGGAAAACAGCCAGTGGAGACTACTATTTCAGGGGTTGGACCCCCCCTAGACATGACTGCTGAAAATTGACGGAAGCCTTGCACGAAACATCGATTTTGAGGTAGCAAATTTAGAGGTTCCTAAGAAAACTCGTAGGAAAACGTCGATTTTGAAGCTACAAAGTCTGAAAATTGGAGGATGCCTCGCACGAAATGCTCGTTTTGATGCTCCAACATGTCTCGGCTCGAGTCTCTGGCTTCTCTTGTGGCCTTGTCGCGTCTATAAGGGAAGCTGCAAAACCTCTCCTGTTTCAAGGTGTCAAAGCAAGATGTAACGTGGTTTCGCATGGCAGGCACCTCCATCGCCATTTTGCGTGGCAGGCGCAGCACTTCAAACGTGTCGCATTGCGTGCTCCACACTTCACACTCCACACTTTACACTCAACACTTGACATTCCATACCTTGCACTCTACACTCCACACTCTACACTCCACACTCTACACTCCACACTCCACACTTCACACTCCACACTCCACACTCTACACTTTACACTCCACACTTCACACTCCACACTCCACACTCTACACTTTACACTCCACACTCCACACTCCACACTTTACACTTTGCACTTTGCACTCTACACTTCGCAATTTAAAATTTACACTTTACAATTTACACTTTACAATTTACACTTTACTCTCTGAACTCTTCACTCCACACTCTACACTGTACACCCCACACTTTACACTCCACACTTTACACTTTGCACTTTACACTCCACACTCCCCGCTTTACACTTGACACTTTACACTCCACACTTTACACCCCACACTCCACACTTTGCACCCCAGTCTTTTCCGCATTCCACAGTCTACAGCGCACTGCTATGGTAGCAGGGGAAAAGTGCACAAAATTGTTCAAACAATTTCTTTCACAAAAGTGTTCTACGTGACTGCATTCAGGTTCGTGGGCTGCATCTTGTTATCTGATAGTTTGACAGAATTGATTTAACCACCGAAGATTTGGATTTTTATCAACACAATAATATGGAGATCCATGGAAATCCGAGAACAACCTCAAATACAGATCTAGAGATACAACCACTGCTCCGGGTGTATAGTGACCTCACCATGATGTCGCGGTAAAGGGAGCTATCGCGAAATGGTTCGATTTCAGACATTTGCAATGGCAGGTCTACTGGGTAACATGATGCATATGATCAACCTTTTGAATTAGGGTAAGCATGGGTTATATGGCTATACCCCCTTCTTTGGACAAAACTAAATATGAGAAATTACCCATTAACAGGGACGGAAGGGCAAGAAACAGAGGTGCATAAAACCCTCCCAGATTCCGAAGAAACGATGTCAGTTGATCTTTTGCAAGAGATTGGTGGCGATCTGGAGTGATCCACAAGAGCCTTGACAGGCCCTACAACATCCTACAACCATAATTGTTTTTTTCGTTGGTTAGATCAAGTTGGATCCATATCTTGCGTCATGGAATATTCACATGGATCACATGGTTAGTTCAGTTTTGGGGGCTTCACAGCGGCTTTTTTGCACGAAACAAGTCGTCTACTCCCATTCAATCCATGTGTTTGATGCTCCAATAATATGTTCCCACATGTTCCCACTACATCATATTTTCCCAGGACTTAAACCACAACTTTCCCCTGCAGCTCCATATTCTCCGGTGGATTTTTCGTTGTTTTCTGGTGGTCAGGCGGGGGACAGCAAAACCGAAGCCACGGCATTGCTGTTGAAAGCTGAAACCCATTTGCAGGCGGGGTGTGCCTGCGATTTTGCATTTTTGGGGGATACAACCATAAACATCCATAAACCAACTATAAATATCTATAAATGGGATTTGGTGGAGATGTGTGATTGGAAAATGAGTTTGTTCTAACAATCTGGAGTTTGTTTAGAATCATTACAATCGGAGTTTTGTTCAAAACATCGGGATTTACATGGATCTACCATCAAACCTGAGTATAGAAAAAGGCTACCATCAAACATGTGGATATAAGTAGGAAACATGGCTGATTTTCAAGTGCCAAATCGCGATATATTTGCAGGCGCCTTAGGTAAGTTGGTCAATGAAACAACTACCTCTATAGATACATCAAACATAAATCCAAGCGTTTGCTTGGTTGTAAACCAACCTACTTGGGGCCCATCTAGAAGGGCCCCTTCCTATGCAGGAAAGCGTAGATTTTCCCCTCGGAACAGTTTGGATTCCTGAAGCTTGGTCGTGTCCAACAATGGGTTCGATACTCGGGTGTCACGAAGAATTTGAATGAGAAGTTGTCATGATCAACCTCAGGCTGTTGAGATTTGGTCGAAACAGCACTGGAGATCATTCTATCACATGGAAATTGTCACAACACCAGGCCTCCTGAACCCTGGTGAACCCCAAAATAGCTGGGATTTATGGATGTTCATCCCCATATATCCTCCCCAAAATATGGAAAACCATCGGAGCACCCGAATGATCCCTGAGTGACGGAGTCACATCATCGATGTTCAAGGTGTCCGAAAAGCTTGGATCGTTTTTTGCGATAGAAAATCACCCGACCAAAGCCGAAGCAGCAAAAGCTGACATTTCTTTGTGGACTATCAAAGATTGACCATGTTTTCAAGCCAAAGGTTTTGACATGTTTTGACTATCCTCCATAGTACTGTTTCTTGTCTTCCAATGTTGGCTGGTCGAATTCCCCGTTTGCAGTGGATATCTGCAGATAAATCTTCCATTTTCTGTTGGTTCAACCCATGGTGGTGTTGGCCAAATCCCAGTTGTCTAAGGTTCTATCTCCATTTTTGGGGTTCAATCTATGTTTTTCTTGTTCAATCTCCAGCTGAATCCGTATTTTCTTGATGCATTGGCACATGTTCTTGGCTTGATACTGAATCCATCAAATTAGGAAACCACATACCCGCTGGTAAACCATAGCTATGGAAAATCACAATTTTTAATGGGTAAATTAACTATAAATTGCCATTTTCAATAGCTATGTTTGTTTACCAGAGGGTATACGGTATATTTTACTTGATATTTGGAACATATTCTGTATATCAAAGCTGGCGATTTCTGGTAACAAATTGTTCTGGTAACGAATTTCTCATCCGGTGATCCGATCGTCAATCCATTGACACCTCATTGTGGCCTCGTTATACAACGATTTGAAGGTACTCCTATGTTTCATGGTGATTCCAGATGTTGATGGTTATACCATGTTAAGTTACCCTCTGGTTTTTTAACATAGCCATGGTATAGATGGCCCATTTATAGATGGTTCACCTATTAAAAATGGTGATTTTCCATGGCTATGTTAAATAACCAGATGGTAAGATATTAACCCACCATTTTGATTCGCCAAAACCACCTTTTTGGCGGTAACAAAAACCCTCGATGGTCATCCGCCTTTAGCGCTTGTCAGGCAGAAGAGCTGCAAGATGCGCTGAAGGCGGCCAGGCAAGGCATCTGCCGGGTTCAATGGGTTTTTATGGTGATTAATAGCGATATAACCCACAAGAATGGGAAATCCCCATATCTCTTGGCATTTCTATCCCGATGTTTGTAAATATCAAGCTCAAGTCATTGGGTATCCCAATAATTAGATGGTTATGTAATACTACAATGTGGGGCCTTCGTTTACGTAGCTAAGTTGGTGAACTAATCACTTCAATAACTATGGTTTATGATACCTATAACATCCTTTAACTATAGTATTCATGGGGTTTACAGACCAACTTTGCGTTTGGGGGCCCCACATTGTAGGGATAGAACCCACAAGAATGTGGATAAGTTTCCTTGTGAGTGGGTAATAGTTGGTTACTAGTCAACGATAGATGGTTATAATGGCTATAGTGGTTATAGTGGTTATAACGGTTATAATGGTTTTAGTGGTTATAATGGTTATATAATGGTTATAATGGTTGTAATGGTTATAATGGTCGTGGAAAACCATCATGTTTTTGTTTCAGGGAAGTCATCGAGAAACGAGTAGTTTTCCATACGTGAACATTGTCCTAGCTTTGAGGTTGATCGGTCCAGGATTCATCTACCAATTGGAGATACCCTCCGGTAAACATACAAAAAGCCGTTGAAAATTGTCCATTTATAGCGGATTTACCTATCAAAAATGGTGATTTTTCATAGTTTTTGTATGTTTACCAGAGGGTATGTGGGGAATTGAAGTGTTCGCAATCCGTTGTGGAATAGGATTGATGATATTTGAAGATAGTTGAGAATAACCCATAGGAAAAAAAAACATTGTTTTCTCTTTGGATTACTATTGCTTGCTTATGAGTGTTTGATTCCGAGGTTGGAACGACAACAAAAGGGGCCTGGTGAGGTTGATACAAGGTAGGGCCGAGTTCGTTAGTTGGTTTGTAACCCTATGCAGCTATAGTAATTAGCACCATGAAGCCTAGCTGTGTTAATTATAAACCAATTTATCCAAACACCTGGCACCACCTTGTAGCTGGGTTTGATACTTATCTTACCCCCACTATATCCCATTATATCCCATTATATCCCATGATACCATTATTTGTGCTGCTTAAATCTTCGTTTTCTTGCTTATAATGCCATTCTAGTGCCATCAACCCACATGTGTTCCCCATGGTGATTGACAGTCCAGACCGGACATTTTTTTCAGGGATTCGATAGATCACAGATGGAGATGATACCCGGTGATGGGTGTCGTTGGATCTTTGTGGTCTAATGGGCTTTGCAAACGGAGAAATATGGGGCTTTCCTCAGTCATGGGGGTACCCCTAGTTATCCATTCGATGTTCGGATGTTCCATGAAACCATCCAGCGAGCTTGGGGTACCCCCATTTCTCCATATGATATGGGTTCTTGTTTGATGTTGTTTTACCCAGTATGAATCTACTGGGTGCAGTCTCAGGTGTATCACCAAGGTCATCCACTCTTGAGGTTCGCCAAGGGGCAACGCTCCATCTATGGATGACATCTTAATAGAAGGGTGTTTTCGAAAAAATCTAGAGAAAACCCAGGATTTTAGTAACCAAAGATATCCAAAGATGCGCTTTTCTGAAACTCTTACCCTCTGGTAAACTAACATAACTATGGAAAATCACCATTTTTTATGGGAAAATCCACTATTTCTATGGCCATTTTCAATAGCAAACTGTTAGTCATAACCAGAGGGTACCTTCAAACTCCATGGCCATCTGAGCCATGGAGGAACAGTGGGAACGGTGGGCGCTCGGTCGACGTCCAATTCACCTTTTGAGAAGGCAGCACCTCAGGTTTCTTCGCAAAAAGCAGGCCGATCTGGAAACTGTATATGTATATATATATATGTGTACACATATATATTTAGTGTGTGTGTGTGCGACCAAAACGTTCCATTTTGCGAGAATTTCCTGGACACAAATGTGTCTCAAAGTATTTTACAGGCGTCACCTTGTCGCTGAATCTGCGGCACAAGGCAAGCTGAGCTACTGCTCAAGTCAGTGGAGGAAGATGGGGCTAAAGCCAAAGTGGTGGGGCGCCCTGAAGCGGGGGACGTGATTCCGTGGGCTATGGGGTGTGTACATAAAGATAAATAGATAAAGATGAATAAATATGAATACCTGCATGGATAAAAATGGTTTCAAACTTTGTACATATAGATACATAAAGTGATAGATAGGTAAATAAATGCATCACAAAGATAAGCACGCAAACATGATATATATAAATGAGGAGCTGAATAATGAATCAATAAATCTATGAACTTGGATAGACAAGTCTGTGTTTTTTTCAGGTAAATGTTATTTGGTCTTATATTAGGACTCATCCACTGACTTTCTGGTGGGGAGAACCTGCCCAACAAAATCAATCTATATCCCCGAGCCATGTGTTCGATGTATAGCCAGGGTGTGTATATTCATGTTGTGTACAAGCCCTGGATTTGAACGTGGAAACCAGCAAGGGCCATAAATATTCGCTGCCCGACCCGTTTTTGAGGTTCCAGTGCAAATTTGCATCGTAAAATTGCATATATTGCCCATAGTTGTGGGTTAGATCTCCATGTTGTGCCTAAATCACATTTGTTTGCATCTGTTTACTGATTCTAAGCCATTTCCCAAGGTTTCTCCAGCCCGTTCTCGGAAAATTATAGCCACCTACAAGGCTGGAAGCTGGCAATTTGAGCTTTTTTAATCTAGTCATTTGCCTACCCTTTTATGGGTGTTGGGCGCGACCGTGATTCCTAGAACCAACTCGTTAGAATCACCTTTTCCAAGCATATCTCAAAGCCTCGAAGCCTGATGCCTTGACATATATCGTATGTAGTATCCAAGGTTATCCGTGGAGAAGTTCTTCGGACTAGCTGAGGAATCCAATCATGGACTCCCATTATTATTGTATATTATTGTTATCCCATGATTACTCCATGATTCCCACTTATTTAATTATTGTTGGTTTTTGCCCTATTATTATTATTGGTTGATGATCCTATGGGCTTATACCGAGTATCTCCATGAAAATTGGATTCATAAATAATTAAATCAAATTAAATCAACAAAGCAATTGGACTCAGTATAATCAACTCAACTATATTATATAATCCAAAAAACCTTCATCATCGTCCAAATGAGTATTGTACAGCGCGGGGCCCCAAACGATAGCTAAGAAGGCTTATAACTTCAATAGCTATGGTCTATGATACCTATAACTATAGTATTCATGAGGTTAAAAAACCGGCAAAAATAACTGGGGGGCATATTGTATGTATATATATATATATCTCTCTATCTGCATATCTCAATATTTCTATATTTATATATCTATGGCCACGTCCTGTAGATTTCAAAAACAAAACAGCCGCATTGTAATAACCCATTTTTGCCCTTGGACCAAGACCAAGGAGGAGATCCTCAACAAACTGCGCGGCCACGAGTTCCGCGTCGACGAAGCCCCTGCGCGACAAACGCCCGCGGCCTACGGCTATGATCCACGCCTGGTGGGGAACCCAGTTGGGAAGCGTTGGGAGGATTTGTTTGTCATTTTAACCAGGAAAAATTTGCAATTTCACCGGGAACAATTGTGAACAATGATAATTCGAGAATTATGAAACACGGTAAGTTAACTAGGGAAAATGGTGAGTTAGCCAGGAAAATGGTGATTTAACCAGGAGAAATGGTGACTTAGAATATAGCCAACTATATATATATATATATGATTTGATTTCGTTTGTCCAAGCCTGGGGGATACCTCCATATGTCAATTTCAACTGGGAAAAACGATGATCAACCATAAGATTCTGGGGGACCCTATTTTCCAACAAACCCATTTACTTGTATGGCTCCAGTACTTGGAAAAATATGGGTAATTATATCATATGATGATGTGTATGCATGGTTGCCATTGTATACAATATTTATATATACATTTTGGTATAAGGGAACCGCTGGATGGGAGGATGTTTGGCCAAAAAAACATAGCAATGGAGTATTTCATGGAATCCGAAAATGGGAAAGCCAAAAGTCGGGCCAGCTCCTGAATGGAAAATTGCTGAATATGCTGTGCAAACTGTAGGCATTTCCTAAATCGTGAGTTACCCTAAACCCAAGGTTGTTTCAATAAGAAACATACAGTCGTCTAATGACTTGAATGATCAAGCGTACCCCTATTTTTGGAAACACCTCTATGGCCAACGAAAACCCTGACAATTTTTTTTTGACTGCAAATTGGTCTATTTGGCCTTGTTGCAATGAGATGCAATGAGAGTTCAATGGCTAGTAATATCCAATCCGGCTCATACATGGGGTATGTTGGGCAAAGGTGAGATAGAACCAAGCAAACCAGGAGAATTGGGTTCGAATAACCGGACCCAGTTGTAAGTTGGTTTATAAACCCAACTATGGAAAAACCATACCCTCCGGTTATGACTAACATAGCTATGGAAGATCACCATTTTCAATGGGTTAATCATCATGAATCATTTATAAATGGGTTATATGTGTTATTTTCCGTAGCTATGTGAAATACGCAGAAGGTTTTCCGCATCGATAAAGCCTATCCTGTCTACCAGTCACCGCTAATGAACTGCAGAACCACCTTGAATAGGGGGCTGAACAACGGTGATTTCTTGGGATATTGCAGTTGTCAATAGCACAATGAGCATCAAGAATTCGAGAGGGACCAACATCGGCTTCTCTGGCTCCTGTGGCCGCCTAGAGGGTGCTGAAGTGACAGCTTCTTGCGGCCTTGAAAATGGTCCCAATTCCGATCGCGCCTGCCTGTACCATGCCATTTGTAAAGGGCTTAGCTTGATCCTCCTGTTCACCAACAGGCGATTGAGCTTCGTGCTATTGCTATTGAACATATGACCAAACATGCTGCATACGCCCAAGATTGGGACAGATTTGGCATTGGTGCCGATGGTAAGACCAAACTGCAGACCTTTGATGAGTACCTCAAAGAATTGTCCCTCATACTGCTCGGGGGAGTACGGCCGAGTTGTGAGCACTAGCTAGAACACTTGACGTTGAGTGTATCATGCTTTCCAGTTCAACCGAGGACCCAAGCGGTTGGAATGTGATGGCAGTGCTGGGCTGCTTGTTTGCTTTCGGGTCTGTGCGCACAATAAATCCGCGCCACGATTGAGAATTAGTTGAAGCTATTGAACCAAAAAAGAAGTGGCATCAGACAATCGCATTAGGGATTTCCTGAATGTTCTGCCAGGTCTTCGATCTCGTTATTCTACTTGTTCATATCAGTGACCTGTGCGACCTGTGCCCCGTGCGCAGTTCACAGTCACACCTATGATCCTTGAAATAACGCACGATTCCTGCGGGATGACTGTGCCAGCTTTGCTAACGACAGGATAACAGGATGCCATGGTTTTGACTCGTTTTGCCCCATGCAACTATAGGTACACTAGAGAGGCATTTGGATCCTGCTATCTGGCCAACAAAGATGAGGATTTTGCGAACTAGAATTCAGAAATCAACAACACAACTATACCTGTTGAAGAGCGGCAAACAAAACATGTCGGAAATAAAATTGCATATTTCTCTACCCGTCGGATGTCTGGATTTGGGGTGCTAGTGGTGATATCCCGAAGAGTATGTCTTTGTCTTGTTTGTTCGCCAAGGTGCAGCCCTGAACTCATCTACGCTCATGCAAACTTGCATCAAATTTATTGACACAAATTTATCCTATGTTGATTGGATGACATAAGCACTCAATACTAGCAATAGTGCGTATTTTTGTGCACAAATGAAATGGGGTAGCAATGAAGCCAGAAACTCATTGCCAAGGCCATTTCACCAACAATTGCCAGATGAATTCAAGTATATGGCCAGTATAACCATGGTGTTGGGAACATCTCCATCTTGAGAAATCAGCAAGTAGGAGGTATCATCACATTGTTCTGTTGGATCATTTTTTGAAGAACATACTCATGTGTATCTCATTGTTCCATCATTTTTCCCATATTTCAGGGTTGGTGGCTTGTTTCCCCATTTTAGCACATTTTGTTGCTATATTTTCCTATATCTTTAGTTGCTTAAATCATCCAACGGGCCAATGTTTCCCAGGCCTTGCCATTGGTGTTCGGAGCCCAAGTCCTGATATAAGTTTTTAAGTCCTTAGCCCCCCGATTTTCCAAGATATCAATCACAATTTAAACTATGGATGCAGATATCAAACTGAGATTTGGCAGTTCATGAATGAATGTTCATGTCTTTATACAGATGAGATCTTAAAACTGTTGATGGGGTATCGCCGAAATCTGATGAAATTGCTGTGCTAAAAACACTTTGGATGGCCTTATCCTCCAGTCAAACTGCAGCAACTGGGGGGCATCCACCATTTTTTGACACCCATTTACTATTGGTACTCATGGATCCAAACAATCCATGAGTACAGTTTATCCCCATTTTTTTGACTGGTTGGTGGTTTCAAACATTTTTGATTTTCCATAATATATGGGATGTCATCCTTCCCATTGACGAACTCATATTTTTCAAGATGGTTAAAAACACCATCCATCAATTTATTGATCATTGGTATGATGTTGTACCCTCAGCTCTATAATTTCCATCATTGATGTTCCCATCATCGTAAACCATTTACTTCCTGAACTCGGCATAACAACGGATGGTTGGAATCCCTTACTTCGCATCACTAGCTGGTTGGTGGTTTGGAACATGAATTTTATGAGTTTCCATATTTTGGGAATTTCATCATCCCAACTGACGAACTCATATTTTTCAGAGGGGCAGGTATACCACCAACCAGCTAGAAATCATGAATGTATCACTGGTAAGTATCCCAAGATGACCGCATTATTCAGCTTGGTGAACCCAACAATAAGCCTCGGTGAAGATTTCCATGCCCTCTCATGGTAAGAATCAGTCGATGATTATATCCCACCTTCATACTACACATATATATATAATATTATATATATACTATTTTATATATAATTATATATACAATATTATATATATATATGTATTTATATACTTATTACATATGTGTAATATATATATATATATACACATACATATGTTGTTTTATGGTTACTATATGTTGCTATACATGTTACTTTTATGTGTATTAGATGTATCAGGGTGGGGTCCCTACCTGCATATTATCATCTTTGGTTTTTAAATATGGAAGATTGGTTGATGATTGTTATTATTCAAATCAGTACGAACAAACATGTTACATTGATTGGTTGGTGGTTCTTTTGTTATTTTACCATAATTAAGACCATGATTATAATAACAGTTAACCATTATATATATATAATTGTATAATCAACATCTGATAAGAAGTTACATAATCCACAATTCACCTTATTGCAATATATAATTGCTGGCAATATCAATGGTTAATTACCATTCTCCATGTGAACGTTAGCTGCTGCAACCCAGGGCTGGCCCAGATCCGGAGCTGGTCAAGAAAACCATCCAGGAGGCCCGGCTAACGAGGATCACGGACCAGGGGAGACATGGAGGTGTCCAACAATCTACTGTAGCTACCCCCAGTTTATTAATAGGGATATTGATGGTGATTTAATGGTGATTAACCCTCTGGTAATGGAATATTAATGGCTGGTTGGTGGTTTGGAACATGAATGTTATGACTTTCCATTCAGTTTGGAATTTCATCATCCCAACTGACGAACTCCATGAGGGGGTAGGTATACCACCAACGGGATCTGATTTTCAGATTTAAAAAAAAAACATTTTCTTTACCAGGAAACCTCCCGGAGAGAGGGGCAAAAGTCGAGAAATCATCGGGAACAACCGCCCGCAAGAGTCGTGAATTGCGACATGGAAAATTGGCGACATATCCGGGAGATGGGGAACTGAAATGGACAACCCTGTGGAACTGTCGAGAAATATCGGACAAAACAAAACAAACCAGAAGTCAATTTTGAGATGCATTTTCATAAACAAGTACAACTCTGTGAATCTCTGGTGAATGTGTTTTGTTGCAAACGAGACTAGGGAAGCAACATGGCAGCATCAAAGTATCAGCCGACACTTGAGTGACCTGAGATCAACCTCATCCTTTATGGAAATTCCACCATGGGGAATCTATGGGGAAGTATGGCTGCAGCGCTGACCTGGCGTTGGTGCTGCAGTTGTTGTTATTTTTGTGGGAATGAACATTGTGATTGTATCCCAACAGGGTTGGACAGTACCCATTTAGTTGTGGCTATATACATACACACAAAGTGGTTCCTGCAGAGTTATAGCTTGGCAGATTCAGGGTTTTCACCTATCCAACTACAATTATTTCATCACCCAACCTAGCATAGCGACATAAAGCAACTATATCAAATCATAGATCATTATAAATCCCCCTATGTGTTGATTAATTCCCACTTGTTGGTGGTGACATCACCAATTTGAGTCCATTTCTGTTGGGCGTTTGCAGTTGCTAAGTGGAACTGCATGGTGGCAGGTCACCAAAAAGATGGTGGGCAAAGAAGACGATTTGGAACAAGATTTGCCGCTCATGGACCTAGGCCGATGGCCTGTGCAGATTGGGTGGGAGTCTGAGTATATAGATAGATAGATTGATTGATTGATTGATTGATAGATAGATTGGTAGATAGATTGATAGACATAGATGGAAATCTCGAACTTTACTGAAAAAAACAGGAAGACCACCATTCAAAAAAATAAAACAGGGCGGGAAATTCCACTATCATGGCAGATTACTACCGGGTAAACCAAGGTTGACGGATGATTTTGTTTGTTCTAGATGATCCAATCTCAAATGAGTTGGTGAATTGCGTTCCTCAAAAGCTATGAGTCTATGCTTGGTTTGCCTGCGGATATCAGCGCCAAAGCCCCTGATTTCTATAGCGTTTTTCCTTGACGGATGGATTGGGGTGTCGCTGACAGACTTTTATAGAGTTTTGTTTGTTGAAAGAATTACCCACTGGTAAACTAACATAACTATGGAAAGTCACCATTTTCAACGGTAAAATCCACTAGAAATGGTCATGTTCAATAGCTATGTTAGATTACCAGAGGGTAAGGAATACGTTACATGGGTTTGCCGCACTAAAAGTGTTAAAGGTGAAACTCCTCGCAGGAAATCAACAAATCACCAGACATAACACTTGTGTACCCTCTGTGGAATTGCCTGCGTGCTGCGTGCCCAGCCCTTTACTTTATCAGTTGTTCCTTTGCAATAGAGAGGTGTGAAGAGTGGAATTGTTCAAGAGAGAACATGAGGGTGGCCAGCCCCTTCATTTGAAACTTGAATCGGACCAAACCCGGCATTTTGGATCATCAAGTAGCCGGCTGGTGATTTCAATGATGATCTCCATTTGTTTGTGTAGGAAAGTAGTATTTGATAGTATTTGATGTGCCGGACCGAAATACTGAGAAAAAATGATTGAATTCTGTTTGACTCATTACTTATATAGTTTATATGGTTGGTGGTTTAGAACATTTGGATTATTTTCCATAGATTGGAAAGAATCATCCCAACTGACGAACTCATACTTTTCAGAGGGGTAGGCATACCACCAACCAGAAAACATTTTTGTTGGTTATAAACCCAAATGTTGATAGCTAAATCACCATTATTGTTTGTTAAACCATCTTTGTTGATGGTTAAACTTTACATGTTGGTGGTTTCCTATGGTTTCCTATGTTTATTTCACCATGTTGAATATCATTCCTATGTTCGCTGGTCTCCAGAAAGATGCAACAACTCAGTGGAGGAAATCCGTCGCCTTTTCCGGCGCCATTTCCTGGTTCAAGTTGAAGATCGTCGATGGATCAAGTTACGCTGAACTTAACCAATAACTGGGGCCCAGTTACCCTCTGGTAATTTAACATAGCTATTGAAAATGGTCATTGAAATAGTGGATTTACCCACTAAAAATGGTGATTTTCAACAGCTATGTTAGTTTACCAGAGGGTATGTTCGATGGTTTATACAGTTACACCCGAAGTCTAGTTATAGGATGTAATATGTTTTAGGTATCATAAACCATAGTAAAGTGGGAGCTATTTGCACCAACTTACCGATTTCCTTAACGGGGGCCCCAAATCCAGCATCATCCAGCTATGTCTTGTTGGGTAACATCCGGGTGCCAGGGTTTTGACTCAGAACCAGTTGGGTATACCTATAATAACTCCCATAAGTGTAAGATGGTTTAACTCCCATAGTATAATAACCATATCATAAACTCATAAACCGTAGTTATTTGTTATGAGTTAGGATGAAAATTTTGGGTATATGTTTGGATCGAAGGTTGCCACAAAGTACCTTGCTTGAGGTGGCTTTGAACATTTTGAACGTGTCGAAACCTTCGGGGTGAACTCTCAAGAGCTAAGGAGAGGACTTTTCTCAGAGGGAATCACCCCGACAGGATCAGTTTCCCGAACCAAATTGACAAATGAACAATATCATATGGATGAGTGAACAAGCAATGGATATGTCCAAAACTGGTGCAAAACAGCAACAATAATAACAGCAATCATTGTTTTCCGAAGGGACAAGAGTAAATTCAACAGGATCTGAGTGGTTTCTCAATTTGTGGATGGCTTTTTAAGGCTTAAAACCTCTAAAACACCATCTTTAAAGGGACCAACATCCAGCTGTAGCAGCTTTTTTGTGTCCAGGGTAGCACCCCATTTTGAGACACACGAAATCGGAAAAAAAAACAACGTCACATCGGCCCATGGCTTGTTTCTGGCACTGCGGACATGACCATGGAAACTTGGAAGCATGGCCGTGGTGGTTGGACAAAACAGTGGCCACCTGCTGGAGCTCAGAAATCCACCATGGCTGGGATAGTTTAGTGAGGTAAACACAAAAAAACATCCCCAAGTGATGAATCCACCGTATGGGATGCTTCAATGTGTCTGGGATGATTCTCCTATGAATTGTTTCATAGTTTCCGTGGAATTCCACTACTTTAGTGAGGTAAACCCAATGGATAATGATGGGATATTGGAGGACATTAGTAGGCGAATCTGGATTGGAAAAAAGGATAACAACGTTTTTTTTAACTATAATAAACATTGCCAGTGGAGATCTAGGATAATAATCTATAGATATTACATAGGATAAATATTAGGGAAATCTATCTATAGTAAACATTTCGTAAACACTGCCAGCTGGCTGGAGGAGACATCTTGCGGTCTCGACATCTAGATGCCCAGCTGAGGTCGAATCACAGCCATAACCCAGGTTTCTCATTGATTGATGATGATTAATGGTGGTTAATGGTGGTTATTAATGGCTAATATAGTGAATTAATGGTGATTTGCCCGGCTATTTTTAAACGTTTACAGTTTGCGACATAGAAAATGGCCCAGTCGAAATCGTTGATGACTACCCATTAAAAGTGGATAAACACAAAGGCTGAATTTTCCAGTTCGTTGCGTAAACGTTTACCTTAAGAGGGTACCACCATCTCCAATTCCAGTGGAGTCAGGTTACCAAAGGAAAAGGCAGACCCCCGGAGCTGAAAGTGGCTGGAACTGATCGGATCGGATCTGCAGGGTATCTCACAGCCATAAGATAAACCGTGAGTTCCTGAAAATGAGGAGGGGGAAGAATGAAAATGGCTAGATCAGCTACACTTAAATGAATGGCAAGAATGAGGATTAATGTAGCTAATGTCAAGCCCGGAGTAGTACATCACTAGGCTGTGTTTAATAAAGTGGTGGTACCATTTGAGTAGCCAATTATCACTAGGGGACCCACCCCAAGTTCATCAACCAGGGCTTACTAATCTGGGGTTGACATTACCCTCTAGTAAACTAACATAACTATGGAACATTACAATTTTCAATGGGTAAATCCACTATAAATGGCCATTTTCAATAGCTATGTTAGTTTACCAGAGGGTAAATCTAATGATCACTGTTGATATAGGCCATAACCACAGGCCCGAGGCCCGAGACTTCGGGCCTGATGTGTCGGGCGGTCACCAGTGCCCATGTTGTTTCTGGTATATACCCCGATCCCATCTCATTTTACAGTTCGTCAGTAAATAGTCATATTATAGCTCATAATCACAATAACAATGAACCAGTTATGATTATTCACTGTTATAGGTTATTATAATGAACCATATTATAGGTTACTACAGGTTATTAAACGGTTATTATAATCATATTGTAGATTATGATAATCACTAATCATAAACCAGTTTACATAACCTTGTATATTCACCCATGAACTCAGGTATGTTTGATGGCTCAATGTGTAAACCTTTTTTGCAGTGGTTGGGACTGGAACCCTAAATTGAATATATAAGCCTCCCTGATCTTGCTTAGTGGTAACCTCTTGTGTTTACTGCCTTGCTTGGAATGAGAACTGTCCGGATTGAATATGGGAATGTTTGAACTCAGCCATGAGACAATGCACAGAAAACAAAGGTGTGTGTCAGCAGTAGGCAAGTGGTTTCAAACAATTTTACTGTACATCTCCCCAGCCGCAGCGATCGGGAAATAAGGTGTTTCGATTTCCAACACGAGTTTCCGGTATTCTAGTCTTACTGGTGCTAAACGCAGGGAATTTTCGGGAATGATCCATAATTACTATCAATAATAATCCCAGCAACCCCTAGCAACCCATCCATTCCCTACGTTTAGCACCAGTAAGTAGTTACCACATCTAAGGATACATCTACCTGGTTTACTAGACTGATTTGCCCAGATCACTCCCAGATCGCCATGTCCTGTACAATGTCGGGCCCCCGTTTACGATAGTTAAGTTGGTGAACATCACCTCAATAACCATGGTTTATGATACCTACAACTATAGTATTCATGGTTTCATAAACCAACTTATAACTGGGGGGGTGCACATTGTTGATATATTGGTTATTATATACCTATCATAATCTCTCACTATTAAATGAATAATTTTTATTAATTATCATATTTATGAATATTCATCAAAAAAAACTGATTGGTGGTTTGGAACCATGGAATTTTATGACTTTCCATTCAGTTGGGAATTTCATCATCCCAACTGACTTTCATATTATTTTTCAGAGGGGTAGGGCTGAACCACCAACCAGAAAACCTTTTTGTTGGTTATAAACCCAAATGTTGATAGCTAAATCATTATATTATATTCTATTAGTTATCATATTATAATCATCAATATTGATGGATCATCAACAAAAATATCCCCATTTTATGTTTTTTTTTCCAAGACTCAGCCCCCAGGATTCAGATCTTCTGGAGAAGATGACTGCCATGGAGAACCGCGCACTCATGTGGCAGGATCGCTGTGCCACGGTGGCCGCTGTTTTGTGCCACGCTTAGCCTCTGGTACCCGGCCTGGTAAACATACAAAAAGCTATTGAAAATGGCTCATTTATAGTTGATTTACCTATTAAAGATGGTGAATTTTCACAGTTGGACCCCAAAAATGACCAATCTATAGTGGTTTCACTAGTCTTCCAAGCCCGATGAATGGCAGGGTCAAACTGTTAATTTACTGGAGGGTAAATGTTATTTGAACTAATGAGGTAAACCCTGGCTGTCATAAACAACTACCATTTCGGGATGGTGTATGCAAGCATGCAAGCCATGTGTGGTGATGACTTGTGGATGGTTTATGACATTGGCCCACAGATGAACCCATGGTTTGACCATCCCAGTTAAGGATTGCGAAGTCCCCTTTTTGGGTCAAACCGTTCAAGCCCCTTAGAGCTTGGCTTCTGAGATCATTTGCAACCATTGTGCTATGACTAGTTGTTGCAAAACCCTTCTTTAGGACAGGGTTTTAGAGTATATAACGCGGATTAACATGAGGTAAGTGGATGTAAGTGGGCTATGGTTTACCACATGAAACCATTCTATGGAAATGTTGTTTTTTGTTTATGTCTTTACGGAGAAGATGTAACGGAATGACATGGAATAACATGGTTTTGAAAGCCCCCCCCAACATGGCAAAATGGGGCAATGTGGTATGTTGTTTATTGGGTTTGCTGCATTGCTTGGGTGCATTCCAGTTAGTAGATTATTATTTATAACCATGTCATATATGGAGGTTTCCTAAAATGGGGATACCCCCAACTTATCCATTTTAATGGCATGTTTCATCATAAACCATCCATTTTGGGGCATCCCCATTTATGGAAACCCCCACAAAAAGTCCATAGACCTTGTATGTTTTCCGTTTTTTTTTCGCTTGCATACACATGGCCTTAGCCATTTGGTACATCATTTTTCATGTGGACTTTTTGAGCGCATCAAAAGATGGAGATGTTCATTGTGGATATCAGTGGATAACCGAGTTTTTAACTGTAAAAAAAATGGATATAACCCTCTGGTAATCGTTTACGTAGCTATGGAAAATCCACCCATGTTTAATGGGTAAATAAACTATTTCTATGACCATTTTCCATAGCTATGTTAAATTACCAGAGGGTAACTCAAAAGAAAACTAGGACATAGTTGGACATAAGTGAAAAGTATGTCATAGATAGATAGATAGATAGATATATATATATATAATGTCCGATTAATTCAGGACCTAGTGGATATGTCCTTTTGGATATAAGTGAATATTTCAGGACATCCAACGAAGCGGTTCTCTTCTTTTCAGCGTCCTTTGGCCTTGATTCGTCAGGCAGACTTAGACCAGGAGCTTCAAAGGCTGGGACCGTCGTTGCGGAAAACCAGTCTGCCGTAAATGGGAAACATTGTAATTTCACAAGCTGAACCGCTAAACTGCTAAATAGTGGTTATTATTCAGGTATCGGTATATATATATATATGTATATATATATAAGTATTGT